CGCTTGTCTCACACGTAAATGAAAGGCTCGGCGTTCAAGCAGTTTGGGCCAAGGTCACATTATGTTGGGTGATTTGTCGCGTGCCAACATAATTAAAAGGCCTTGAGCAGCTGAACCGAGAAGATCTACAGGTCCACGCCGTCACTTCGTTTGGCACTTGGATCTTTGAAGCCAGCCCTGCACAGTGAACAACCAAGTGCCGAAGAGAACCGCTCATTAGTTCAACAAATGTGAAAGCGAAACTCCAGCGTTGACAAGGCAGCCCATGGAAAAACGAAAGCACCCAAAAAACACACACACACACAGACAAAACTTTCAATTGACCTAAAGGGCAGGCGAAAAAATACGTTGCAGTTTGCGCAGCCAAGAAGAGATGAGCGAACGTCACGGGCTGCGTTGCCCTTGCAGCAATCTCCGAAGCCCGCGTGTTCGCAAACTCGCATGAGGTGAGGCGTCGAGAAATCACGCCAGCCCTTGCGCGAAGCAGCTCAGAGAAAGTGAAAACAACACAACGGGCGGATAGCAATGTCTTCTTTCGAGCTCGGATGGGCCCTAATGAAAAATGCGGACTCAAGCAAGTGTTTGCTCTTGCGCGCTTACTATCCTGGGAGCGAGCGAGCTGACGACGAGCCGGCAAAAGCCAACGAGCACCAGCTTTACTCGGTCGAGCTTGCGCCCCGCACGCGTGTCTGAACGTTCACAGCGCAAGTCGGCGGCTGAGGCTGCTGCCAAGCGCCAGCGCGCCTTATTCTGCCTGAAGCACGCAACAAGGAGCACAAACCGCAAACTCTAAATGCCCCCCCCCCCCCCGCATGCTTTCACATGGGAACTGCTGCCCCCGTTCGTAGGTCTAGCGGTCGCCATGCGCAGCAGAGATTTGCACATTCTACTGTTCTGGACACTACTTTTTTGCAGCTTAGCGGTAAACGGAGGCACCACTGTGGCCTGGGTCTTGAACCAAAGCTTACACCATGCCCTTTGCAGAACAACCAGTTGCTTGCGCCATCGCTGTCAGCAAATTGTCAAGGTTCGCGCTTTTTTCATGGAGGAGTCCTTCATTCAGCCGCCATTCTTAGGTCACCATGCGTCCTTCAACAAGGCCAGAAAGTCTCCAGGTTCTCCGCCCCCAGATTGTGTGTGCATGTGTTTGTGTTGTTTTTTTTGGGGTTGTTCTTTTCTCTCTAGGGTTCCTGGTTACGCATATCTATTTACCTACCCTAACAAGGGGCACTATGGGTAGCGTATAAGAAAAATGGCCCTCCGCGACATGGTCGTGAACCCGCTCCCTCAACAGCCCAACTTTGCCCAGCGGGCAAAAACCCGTCTGAACGCACTGGCGGGTAAGGTGATGAGACACGGGCCACAACGCTGGGCCGTCCTCAGATCCCCCACTAAAAGTTTAACTTTTACTGGGTTAAATGGGAATCCAAAGAGCCAAAAGATCTAAAAAGCCAAGGAACCGGATGGCTGGGAACCACCAAGAACATTGATCCCTTCCCCCCATTTACGGAGCTTTGGTCGCCTTCCCCCGCCACAACCCGCTCTGGAGCTTGGCAAGTCGTAGCTCACCCGCAAAGCTTGCTTCGGGGTACTTATATCGTGTTTCTGCCAACGGTTTCGTTGCATCATCCAAAGGGAGCCACGGGACCAACAATTATGTGTATATATATATATGTATATAATACTGTTTTGTTGTTTTTCCTATCAATATTAATATGTTTCGTTGTTTTTTCTAGTTTAAACCAAACAAGCACACGCTGTTTGTGTCCTCAGAGGTTGGCCGCGAACGGAGACCTGAAAACCCTGAGCAGGCTCCCCGCTAAGGAAAGGCAGCAGAAGGCGTGGGCCACGAGCCGGGGCTGGCCTTGAACAGCCTCTTGCTCCAACTCTTGGGCTGCACCAATGGTATTTTCAGCTGGTCTAATATGGTGAGCTAGAAACATGCCTACTCTTTTTCAGGATCTGTCTGCTTGTCCAAGGGGTGAAACTCCCTATTGTTGGGAGACACTGCCTTCAGGGACAATGATCAGTGGGTCCACCGTCGGCTGTTTGATTCACCAGTTTATTACCTCTCATGGGTCCAGGGCCACAAGTCCCAAAAGCCCTGGGAAGCCGAAAAAAGGGCCACGAGTTCGATGAGCGTTGGGCAGCTAAAAGAAAACAGTCAACCCTGGCAGTGTTTTCTCAGTCGCCCCAAAGACCCAGGAATACAAGGTGATCACCACCTGGGGCCATGACTAAAAATGGACCAACATGGGAAAACCAAAAAAAAGGTCAACAAGTCGATGCATCGTACGGAATCCCACCGCAGGGGAGCACATGAAACCCACCCGACTCGAGGCAAATGCCGCGTCCACGCGTCCTGGGCGCGGGCGTTGGCCGTCACGGCGCCCTCAGACGCGAGCTGCGCCAGGGACAGCAAGACCTCCACCCCGCCGAAGCTCGCCACAGCACGCGCCCCGGGCTCCTGCGACGGGTTCCATGTGGCTCAGCACGGTGGAGCTTCATCTTTCATTTGGTTAACGCTCCTGGAAAAACAAATATTTCCAGTAGTGATAAATTCCTTTTAAACCCAACAAGGGAAAGTAAAAAAAGTATCAGTACTCTTAAGCAAATGGAAGTCATGGGAAAAATAGAGACTCGGCATCCAAGTTGTTGTGGAGGGTTGACTTTAAAGGAAAAAACCCTCCCCAAAAACAGTTGAAAAAAAGGCACCACTGGGCGGCTGGGGTGGGGTACCCCAAACCAAATATGCAGAATCTAACTGACAGACATACACGCTTTCAAACAACCATTTGGAGGATTATTTGAAGGTGGTCACTTTGATGGACACAGTAGGGGTGATTGTCAACAAGTAACCCGGATACGGTTTACAGCAAGACTCGTTAGGCTTGCGGTCGTGAATTTGTTCTGGGCGAAGGGGCTGTGCTCCCAATCCAGGGCGCACCTGTTCAAGCTAGAGGCATAGTCGGATCGCAATTTCGCCTTACCTTCGGCTGTCACAAATGGGAACTTGAAGAAAGCACACAGTCAACGCCAAGCTATGAAGTCTAAGAGGGTGGGGGGCCTAAGCTTGCTTCTCGAGTCGGTCGGATTTCCTCGTTGAAGGTTTTGCTTTTCCACTTATAGTTGTAAACAATAAGACATGAGACCAACCCCTGTTGAAGTGGTCTTTCAGACCAGACGATGGTTCGTGGACATGGAGACTGGGAGCAAGCCCACTTGCTGCATATCTGGGGGACCTTCCAGATGCCTGCGTCACTTTTAATAAACACCCGTTGAGGGGTTTCCATCCATGAACATCGTTGCCAGTTGAACAAAAAAGGCCAACAGCTGTGATTACCTTGCAATTGACGGACAAGGCTTTCAAAGTGGGAAAGCAAATCAAACAATTTGTGTGAAGCTCTTGGCTGTTTTGTTATTTCCAACATGTGAAAACCAACAGGTTGCCCAAGCTGGCGAACACCAAGACCACCTCAGCCCTTGCCTCCAACAATAAAACCTGTTGTCATTTTTCATACAGAGCGAACCTTGCAATGTAACAAAACAATAAACGGGTCTGAAAATAGGGGCTGGTTTTGCAAGGGAACCAATGGGAACACACACCCGCACACACACACACACAAACACACACACACAAACACACACACAAACACACACACAAACACACACACAAACACACACACACACACACACACACACACACACACACACACACACACACACACACACACACACACACACACACACACACACACACACACACACACACACACACACACACACACACACACACACACACACACACACACACACACACACACACACACACACACACACACACACACACACACACACACACCCACACACACACACACACACACACCCACACGCACGCACGCACGCACGCACGCACGCACGCACGCACGCACGCACGCACGCACGCACGCACGCACGCACGCACGCACGCACGCACGCACGCACGCACGCACGCACGCACGCACGCACGCACGCACGCACGCACGCACGCACGCACGCACGCACGCACGCACGCACGCCCGCACGCACGCACGCACGCACGCACGCACGCACGCACGCACGCACGCACGCACGCACGCCGCACACACGCACACGCACACGCACACGCACACACGCACACGCACACGCACACGCACACGCACACGCACACGCACACGCACACGCACACGCACACGCACACGCACACGCACACGCACACGCACACGCACATGGCACGCACACGCGCACGCACGCACCCACACACACACACACTACATTGGGTTTTCTTTTTTTGAGACCCGCACAATTCATTTGGAAGATGCAAATGCCATAGCCCTTGCTTGGGAGTTCTCCTTTGGGCGCTATATTGTGCTATGCGCTCTGCATTCCATGTGCTTTTTCAGGAGCCCTGATAGAGGAAGCCAGATGGGGGGGAGGGGTTTCAAATTGGGCTCCCTTTAAAATGCATCTTGCTTCCCTTTAAGTACCCAAAAGGGCTCCGAGACGAAATGTTGAAAGACTCCCATAAACGAAACCGTGGTAAAAAGGCCAAAGATGTCCTTGATATAGATGACCTCAAAATGAAGCGTGTTCCTCTTCGCCCCCCTTACGATAAACAAGCCCAAAACGGGCAGCCTGAAAAAACAAACATCTGCTTTGACATATGTTCACCCTGGGGTTCGAGGGCCTTAAAAAGAAAGGCCTTTAGGAAGCGGCCGTGAAATGTGGGGAACGTCCTTTGTTTGCAAGTTGGACGCTTTTAATTGGGTTGACAGTTTTGTGTTGGCCGCATTAGTAGCCACATGGCTTTGCAGTGCTTGTGGCTGAAAAGTACGCTTTCCAAAGCCTTGCGAAAGCCATGTAGACATGTTGAAGCTGGTCAATGCTCACGGTCTTCATCTTTGTGGGATTTCTAGAGACCTTGATCATGGGCTTAGCAATGGGAAATCGACAAGGGAGAAGCGTGAAAATACCGTGAAATTGGCGTGAACGCCCTTTTTTTGCAGTGAAAGACCGTGAAACGCCGTGAAATTTGGCAGGCGAAAAACCACGCGCATTCGTCCTGGCTGGCGTTGTTTTCTGCTGGGATTGAAAAGGTCTTGCTGAATGGATGTTTCAGGAAGACCATGATTGTTCCATTGATGATGCAGAAATGTGCTGCTTTAACTTTGAGGCCTTCGCAAGTCTAGCTTGGTGTGGAAAAGGCTTGTTGCTGACGATGTAAAGTTGGAATTCCACCCAGCCCCCCACCCCCCAGCTAGTCAAACAAAGGATGTTCATGTAACGGCCTTTGTTTTAAAAGCCTTTCACCCCCCAGGGTTCAGAGTCTGTTTCCTATTTTGTTGATTCAAAAAAAAAAATAACCTGTGAGACCCCAGGAATCGCCCTCATTCTTTCCTTTGGCCCTTCCAGCTTCCCTCCGACGGGTTTCCCATTAACCCCCTACAACCAGGGCTTCCATTTGCCACCAGTCCAAACGACAAAGACTTACCCTCCGATTAACATGGAACCTGATGTTGACCCGGAAGCCAGGACCCAGGATCCCCAAAAGAACGTCAGGTTCCGGCTGAGGGTGGGGTTTTCTCCGCACACTCATGGGCGGGCCCACTCCCGCTGTGCTTCCATGCCATGCAAGATAGGAACTAGGTCCTCCAGTAGAGAGGTTAGAACAAGGGTACCCTTTTTTTCTGTCGTCTATTTTAGTAGGGGAACCCGAAACCCCCCAAAAAATGAATTGTAAAAGGGTACCTAGCTGGGGGACCTAGACAAAACACCTCAGCCCACGAGCGTTGGGTTCCGAAGCGATCTTTCGATTGTTGTCTTGGTGGGAAAGGCTGGGCTTCCCATTTACCCACAAGAACCAGGGGTCCGATGGCCCGAACCAATCCAAACCACGCGGGGTTGCGCTCCGCGGCGGTGATTGCGCGCAGGGCCTGCGCCGCCTTGGTGGCCACCTGAAGCAAGCAAGCCCTGGGGTGGGGTGGGGTGGGGTGGGGTGAGGTTTTTTTTTTCTTTGTTTAAATATAGACGTATATATATATATATGGGTTGACCCTTAGCATATGAAAAATCGGGGGAACTAGAGAACACTTTTGGGATGAAGCCTGCGGGTGGTTTTGGGTTGGGTCGAGCAGGTCGTTTGGAAACAAACCATTAGGTAGACATTGCAGGACCATAGGGGAACCGAACCCATAGGTTTAAGTCAAATACGGACACATGCCAGCCCATGGATAATACTGACTCAGAGCCAGAGGACTATGAGCCATTGCAGCGGAGAAACGCGACTATTGGTGACTAGTGACAATTAAGAACCAGAGGCCTCATACAGACATATGTATATATATATATATATATGATAATGTATATACATACACCGTCGCTAGAATATATTGTGGCTTAAGCCCCATGTTCAATGTATCTGCATTTGTCTACAAGTTCCAAGCCTGACATGTAAATGGTTATCAAGGTGATCTTTGCCCAACCTCCCCAACAGCAGCCAGCATCCCGCCAACATCCCCTACGTTCTCGCCAGCTTCCCGGGCATTCCTGCATCAGCAGCAACCGGGTCTTCCAGCATTACCAGCATCCCGCAGGTGGCCCGCTGGGAGAAAATTTTACATCCAACAACCACCTACTTGGATCTTCTATATTAGCTTGCAAAGGTTATTTAGGTCCTCCAGTAGAGAGGTTAGAATAAGGATACCCTGTTTTCTGTCGTCTGTTTTAATAACTGGAACTCTCCCCCAAAAAAGGAATTGTAAAAGGGCACTACTGGGGGACCTAGTTATGTTTGACCCAAACAGGCCCAAACCTCTCCCTTTTCGGGAGGCGAAACGGGCTCCTGTCCATCACCCAGACCTGGGTACCCGCCTTGTGGAATCGTCTCATTCCTTGAAGCTCTCAGTTCCGATTAAACAAGTTGATTGCAAACTCCTTCACCTTTTGAGGGTCCAAAGGAAAATCCCAGTGTTTCAACCCAAAAAACAAAAGTCCACAGATCCAACCGACTCGGGGATCCGCAAACGCCCGCCTGCGGGTTCTGAGAGCCTTGGAGACTCAGCATGGACAGCACCCCGAAGGTCCTGTCCTCCATCTCTGGGCTGAGGCCCGTCCTAGCTCGAAAGGACGGCTTTTTCTCACTGGCTGAGAGGACCTGGGAATAGAAGGTGACACGTTTGTGGAAGGGATTAGGGATACGAATGCGACTGGTTTGAGGACCCCCATTGTTGTAGGGAAAGCCAGAAGGTCAAAAGGTCGACTCGCTTTGGGCAACTGAGTTTGGGAACCTTCACTCAAAAGGTCAGGCGAAAGCTTCTTTAAACTACACCTCCTGTGGCTGGACTCAGCCCGCTTCACACCTGAGATGGATTCAAGCATGCATATTGGGATTCGCAACCAACTGGGGCAGGAGTTAGTTAGAGGTGCTCGCCTTGTTAAGGGCACGCTCTGGTTGTTTTGCCAAGCGCCAAGTAGTTGAGCTCCTGGATCTCTCCAGGAACCCCTTGGTCTTGTTGCTTGAGAAAAACAAACCTGTTCCTCTGTGAGGCTCGTCACCTTTTTGTCTCCTTCGGGGGTGGTTTGGAGGGAACCTGCCAATTTTTTTTGTGTCTTGTTCTATCATGTTCTTTTCTTTCCTTTTTCCGGGGGGCGGGGGGGGGGGTGGTTTGAAGGAAAACCAAAAGCACACACTCACGCCATTTCGGGGGGGAGGTTCGCCTGGCTTGACCCTGGCATCTGGGACTTTCAAGGTCTAAAATCCATGCCATGCGCTTCCGCGGGACAGAGGCCAAGAGGGCGAGGATCGAGACACCTAATCGCCGAATCGCGATGCCAACGGGGAGGGCTTCTTTCGGAGGGGGCCAAAGACGCGGATCCACTTTGGCGATACCCCAATCGCCCGGGTCTTGCAGCCGAGCATCAGGTCTTCTTCAGCCTGAGCGAATGGAGGCCAGGCTCTGGGGATCAAGTTTAGGATTTTCGTCAAACGAAGCGTGCTGCCTTGCGCGAAACGAACAAGGGCCACCTGATCTTGACAAGACTGCCGTGTGTGTCTGGCTTCGGACGACCAACAGAACCACCTGAAAACAGACCACCAATCCATGTCAAGGCCCCATCAAGGCCGCTAAACGGGGCCTTCCTCCTTCCAAATCTTGAAGCCAAACTGGCAACCAGAACTGCAAAGCCGATGGGCCTCTTGCTTGCACACCCCTCTTGAGCGAGACTCTGAAACACACGCGGCAAGAAATATCCGGAAAACAACCGGTACTTACGGCCACAACCCATCCCGAAGAAACAAAACAAGTACCCAAGAGGGGTATAGTAGAACTGCGGTTGCGCAGCGAAACAAACGTCGAACCGTTCCGATCCTTCCCTCTGCATATGGAAGGCCTATCAAAAACATGGCGTCCGTCCCCCCATTCACCTCGACCACGCCTGCGGCAGTGCTGGGTTGCCCTCAGTCTCCACGGCCTCCTTCACTTCCTAGCAGGGGATCATGGCTAGGAAAAATGCTTCTTTACTTGGGGTGCAGGGGATGACTTCACCAAAATAAGGGGCTGTGCCATGTATTTTCACCAAACTGCACCCCAACACCAAAGCTATGCTAGGGGTATCCCTCCAGCTGGCGGGAGGCTTGCCCCTTTTTTTTCGGCGAGCAACCCATCGCCACCAGACAGTCCGCGGGCCACACACCGAAAAGGAATCCAAGGCCTTTCATGGGGAAACTCGTTTCGCTTGCAACTTGACCGCCTGCTTCCTGAAACCCGAAAGCTCAAAGGGATCCACCTCAGATATGGCCCAAGGTAATTTGATGGAAGCGCGAGGTGCCATGAGATTGTTCGCAATTACTTGGTGCAAGATTTTGTTTGTCAGTGAGGAAATAGGGCTTCTGCCTCGTTTAACCCTCACTTGACTCGGCACTGAGACTGCACTACTTTATCAGACAGCGTGCAGATTACATGTTCACATTCTGATCATCTTGGCCCACATCTTGTGTACACAAAACATCCTATATATGTATATATTCACATTCTACTTCATGCTTTGTCTACCCCAAACATATCTGGCTGGGTACTCGTTGGTGAGTGGGTAAATGGTCTTGAATTTCCTGCTCGCTTGCGACCCGTCCCTGAAACCCATCCAAATATAAAATAGCTTGGGAGGAGACCGCAGATTTCATCCACAGCACCAAACCAGAGGAGGCAATGCGGCCTCCGGCACGTTGTGCTCCAGCTGGCCCTGAAGCGTTGAGTCTTTGAGCGCGGGTCACTGCATTTCCATGTTGTAATGGGTGGCTGTCTCAACGTAGACCCGTCTTGCAGCGAGTAGCACATTAAAATGCTTCATTTAATCGGAGACACGGAGGGCCTCTCATGTACATTTCAGCTTGCCTGCAAGCGAAGAGTCCCCCAAATGGGCCGGGGGTTCCCTTTGGTGTTCAATCGAAAATGTCCAAACGCTGCCATCAACAAATCGTCACACACATTTCTTGCAGGGAGGGGGGCACATGTGGTTGTTCACACGCAAAACTCGCCTTTCGCAGGCAGGAAGCTTGTGATCCATACCCTGCCCTTTTGGTGGCGTTTGGGTGCGCTGTGGCAAATCAAATGACATGTCACGCCCGCAACCCGTGAGAGACTTCACTTCAGCATTAATTACGTCTCAAGGGTAAAAGAGAGACCCCTGAGCTACTATTGCCATTACTCAAGCTCCACCATGGCTTTGTTTTCAAAATGGTCTACGCGCAGGTGGTTGGTTTCCTTTCAGGGTTATCCTTTTCAATTGCTCTTTATACCGCAGAATGCCGCCAGGGCTCAATACCAAACCACTCAGCCAAGCTGCCATGTCTGGGAGGCCCACCAGCATGCCCTTGTCAATGCGGAAGCCTCAGCAGATTGTCAGGTCGCTCCAAAATGTTTGCAGGACACCCCCATACGATTTCAATGGGCTAACGAACCCTACCTTGCGGCAAGGCGTATGATGAAAGCGCCAGGACTTCACAATGCAGCATAGCTAGGTGTAGCCCGCAGGAGTCGCGAACTGCAAGCGAAGGCTCCGAACAGCAAAATCAGAATGCGGACGCAAGATAGCGACACTTGACCCACTCATCTCGGAGGGTTCCCTAGGTTTTCCGCCTACCGTCGCTCAGTGCAAGGAGACCTCGCATCAACATGGGAAATGAAGGAAACTCCGTCTAGTCTTGATTCGGGACAACATGTGATCTGAAAGTGGTTCAGAGCCTGTGACCGTTTTGCTTGCCACCCAAGGCAACGCCAAACACGGAGGACAACCCACTGTGGGTTGCGGTCGCTCTGGCAGCCATCTGAAAAATGTACTTGCTCAAAGCCTTACCAGTGAGGAACAGGTTCCAGGGGAATTTGCTCATACCCATGTTGCCCACTGAACAAACGCCTTGGGTTCATGACCATGTCCTCTCCTCGAAAGGGGTACCTATTCTCAAGCAGGCTACAACGCTTGCAGCTCTTGGAGCTGACCTCACGAACCTGATCCCAGACCTCCAGGTGGGAAAGAGAAGGCGCCTTGTTTTTTTTTTTTTTTTTTTGGGGGGGGGGGTGGATGATCACAAAGGTTGCAGCATAATCCCGGCCAAACCTTGATCAAACAAAGGAGTAGGGACACTGCTGGCAAGTCAAGCTGCCTACTCTCAAACCCTTCCCTCATCCCTGCCTTCCGGAGTACGACGCACCCATATTGCTTTTGGAGCATCCCGTTGGGCCAGTTTTTTTCCCGTCTGGTTTGGGGAAAACAACCGGTTAGGGCTCAATGACTGAAATTTCAGGCGGGCGACGTAAATCACAAGGAACAACACCCACCCGGAACCGCTGTCAGCCATTTGACTGCTGCGCCCTCGATCCCTGCGTCCGCTGGTTCGGAGTAGGGCCTTCCAGGGTCATTTGACAGCTGGTCCGGGGCCTTGGAATGCTTTTTGTTTAGTGGGTCATAGTTTTTTAGCATACAAGGGGGGTGGGAACCAAGCTTGTTTGCTAAATTGCTAGCGCCCAAAAAGGACTTGTTGGGTTCATGGGCCCTGGTTTAAGAGAAGCAAAGAAGCAAACACCACAATATATGGGTGTGTCGTTTTGTTCGGGGCACCCAAATTGGCGGCCTTCGATTATGGGCGTCATTTCAAAACCACCCAAAGAGGGACCTTTAAAGACAAGACACCCATATCTTCAGATTCTGTTTTGTGGGTAGCCCCAAATGCCTCCCGCCAAGCGGCGCGCTTCTCCAGCGGTGAGGCATGGTGCGGCCACCTGCAGAGGTCTTGGGCGACGTTGGTCGAAATTCGTGATATTTGGCCTATGGCTTCCCAACCGGTTTGCTGAATTTGAAGTGTTCATCGCTGAGCACGATAAACAAAAATAGAAGGATCAAAAACAACTAAAATCTGAACTCCTGGGTGCATAGAGATGTCCATAGTTGTTTGTTTAATAAAACGGCGTGACTTGGCCCCTTTTTGGTTCTCCGACTGGCATTGATGACTCCATGGGAGTGAATATTTTTCACCCACAAAAACGCGGCTTCCTATGAGATAAAAATGAATCATCCCAGGTATTTGCAAAGAAACCTTACTTTGGGGTGAAGGGATTTGTTCTCCTTCGCAGTTCCCAAGAAGTAAGGGATGAAAGGAAAGTGAACTGGAGGCCTGTTTATCTGATGCCTGCCATCCTTCAAGAATTATGTGTTCCTCAAGGGACCTTTGCATCAAGCCGCAGGTTTGTGGGGACCAAGGTCGCGAACCCTTGTGTCCCCGTAAGTTGCCCAGAGTTCATTTGGAGGGGCAAGTCTTTGGAGGTACCCTTTTAGGTTGGGGCTCCAAGGGAAACTAAGAGGAACACTTTGTTGTTTTTATTGGGGGGGGGGGCATGCCCTATTTGACTCACACCCATTTCAGTCTTGAGCCTTGCGCAAAAAGCCTTGATGACCTTCAGCCTCTGGAATAACATCCCGCCAGAAAAGTGGAAGTGCACAAATCCTTTTCCCTAGTAACCCCCTCCCCCCCCAAAAAAAAAACTCGGGTGGGGGCGCTGTTCTTAGGGTCCCGAGTTTTGGGCCAGAACTGTTTCAGGCTGCGCTGTTTAGTATTGGTATCAAATTGGAAAGGGGGAACCCTTTGATTTGCAAAGAACGCTCAAAATGCATCTGTTGAACAATCATTTTGAAAGGGTAGGCGCGTCAGTTATTCTTGAAAACAACATTACCAAGCAAAAGCAGGGAGGCATAGGCGGAGCGATGCAAAGAACGCTTTGTTGACCGCCTGCTGAAAAAGAAACCTCTTAATAAAATATTGTTTGAGGGAGGCAGGCCAGGCAAGTCTGCCCTGTACCTTGTGCAGGACCTTTCGGCCGAAGAAAAGTTGTCGCGCATTGGCACGGATCCACTGGGGAGCACCTCTAGCAGCAAGAACCTTCAATGCAAAGTACGGGTTAACTCTTTCGAAGGCTTTGGACAGGTCAACCAGCAAGGCAAGCCTGCCCTCTTTGGAGTCAAGCACACTTTGGATGGATATGACGGCACCCTGAGGTTCACGAAACGAATTGAGGACAGTCTGCGACGGGTGCAGAGCAATGCAGGGAACCCTGTCGGGCAAGGCAACCCTTTGGATTGAGGGAAAAGCGCGCAGGATACAACTTTAGAGTAAGACGTTGTTGAAGGGAACCCAACGGAAACCCTAATAATACAAACAAGCAGGAGCAAGGCAACCCTTTTGGCTTGAGGAAAACAACGCTCAGAATGCAACTTTTGAGTAAGACCAGGGTGACCCTAATTGATAAGCAGATCTGGAGTTTCGCTGGGTAATGCTGGGTAGATCTGGTTTCGAGAGAGTCTAGTGTTGGTTTAGGATTGGGTAACTTGAAATAACAATTGACAATTTTGAAAAAACGTCTGGGTTTTGCAATAGTGGAGGAACATTATTAATAAGAAGAAGGGGTTACTTTCCATAGCGGTCCTGGGCACTTCCCCATGTCTGTTGGCTAAATCACCTCTACCAATTGACTTTCAGTTTTCAGGATCCTTTTTCAAATAAAACTAGTGGTTTTTTGGAATAAATGTATCCTTCAGTCTGCAATTGCTATACGTCCAAAACCTGAAATAAGGAACCAAGAGATCCCCAAGTACAGGACCACGGCCTTCGCTCGTTTCACCCCGACTCGGTGAGCTCGATTCCGCAAAGCAACTAGGTCCTCCAGTAGAGAGCTTAACATAAGGGTACCAACTTTGTTCTGTGGTCTATTTTAGTAGGGGAACCCGAAACCCTAAAAAAGAGACGCACAAAAAAATAGGGCAAAGGGCACCTAGCTGGGGGACCTAGAAAAGGATCAAACCTCCAATGGCCACCATGGAACAAACACAAACACACAGACACACAAACACTTGGTTGCTGTTGACCCCCCTGAAAAAAGTTTACTTTTTGTGGGTTTAGTGGAAAACCCCTTGATTTCACAGAAAGTTAAAGTCTAAAGATCCAACCCAATAGCAGTCAAGAACAAAGGAGGAAGACCTTCTCAGCGGCCCTCGCATCCGACCCTCCGGCCTGGGCCTTCTGCTCAGCCGCCTCGTTGGCATCTCCTCGCTCGCGGCTGGCGTTACACGCGCGCTCTTGTCATCGCCCAGATGCCCGGTCCCAACCCAACCGCTTTGGAAGCAACAGGCAGCTGTATATGATACTGTCCCGGACAAAAAAAACTGTTTCTTCCATTTGCTTAAGCCCCCTGGAACATATGTCCAGTATAATGATAGATTCCCTTCAAAACCAAGAAGGGAAAATAACATGCTTTGTTAGCAAATGGATGTTTTTTTGTTTGAAGACGCATGCGTATGACGCCCTCTCCAAAACCCCGCACAAGACGGCTCTAAAACACTCTCAAAGACTTCTCAAAGAAGCTCCATCGGCCCTGCAGGTTCGCTGGCTCACTTGCAAGAGCCTGGAAACCGGTGAGATCACCTTCTGGGGCCTTTCTCCGACCTTTAAAAGAGAGATTGGACCAAAAAGGGGAAGCCAAGAGGTGAAAAAAGGTCGGCTTTGAACCACTAAGCTGAGAAAAAGAAGAAGAACAAGAAACGCCTCACAAAAACCTTCGCTGCATGTGAAGCCTTCGAAAGCCCCCTGGGTTCGCCTACGCCCCAGTCAAACCACCAATCCCAGTCAAGCCACCAATCAAGTCTGCATGTGGGAGCTCCTTTGACAAAAACCAGTTGCTCAATCGCCTTGATTCGACGCGCACACAGACACACAAACACCAACACAGTACAACAAAACCACAACAAGCCAGCCAGGCAGCCAGGCAGCCAGCCAGCCAGCCAACAAACAAACAAACAAACAAACAAACAAAACAAAAACACATACACGCAAAGAAAGCACACACAAACAAACAAACAAACAAACAAACCAACCAACCAATAAACAAACAAACAAACAAACAGAACAAACGTACACTGCAAACAAACAAACCAACCAACCAACCAACCAACAAACAAACAAACAAACAAACAAAACATATTTTTAACAAATGCGCAAGTGCACAGGCAAGCAAGCTTGCAGGCATGCACACATGACAAGCAAGCAAGTATGCACAAGCACCAAATGCAACACTACTGTTTACAGTCAAGCGCACCATGCATGATCTGACGACCAAACATAGTCGAAACAAGTGTGCGCGCCATCACCAGAGCAAGCAACCATACAACAAAGCACACACAAACCCAACCCAAGCAATAAACGCAAATAGGCAAACACACGCACACACATATAAACCAAAAAACACAAGCAAGCAATTAAAGCAAATGTAAGCAAGCAAGAAAGCTGCCAAGCCAGCCAGTCAGCCAGCTGCATCACGCAAGGACTCAAAGCAAGAAAGCAAGCAATCACGCAAGCACGCACACACAGCAAGCAAGCAAGCAAGCAAGCAAGCAAGCAAGCAAGCAAGCAAGCAAGCGAGCAAGCAAGAAATGCAAGCAAGAAATGCAAGGCAAGGCAAGGCAAGGCAAGGCAAGGCAAGGGAAAACAGCACGGCAATAAGAAGAAAGCTCAGCAAGCAAAGCAAGCAAAGCAAGCCAATAAAAGCCAACAAAAGCCACAGAAAGCAAAGCAGCAAGAAAGCAATTGAGCAAGCAAGCAACGAAGGAAGCAAGCCAGGCGCGCAGGAAGCCTTTTGCCGTCCAGGTTGCTATTCAGCTGCTTCACAGCACGCAGAAAGAAGTCCTGAGGGACCCCGCGCATGGGGGACGCGAGGCCAAGGATCTTGTTTGTTCTGCGTGTCAGTCATTCCAGGAGTTCTTAGGTGCAAGATTTCGTCCACAGTACGTCAACAGCTGGGACCCCTCCAGACCAAGGGATACCAACATCGCACCATTTGGAGGTGTCTTTGGTTGCGACACCATTTCCCAAACGAGTTGCGCGAATGGATGCAGGGTTCTATTTATCTCGTTTGACGGGGACACTCACTTTCAATTGGCCCAAGAAGAGAAGTGGTTTTCACCGCAAGGCAACGTGCTCTTGTTCCAAGAGACCAAAAGGGACAGATCTGACCCTGGCAGGCCCTGGCATGCAGTTCTTTGCCTTCAGACGCGGCACGCCTGCCTGCAAACTGCATGGGACGCTACGCACTCCGAAAGCATGTCAAATCTCCATGGTGGCAGTCTTGTTTCAGGACCCTCAATTCGTTGTGTGACTTTGAGTATGCTTTGGGTGATGGACATGTGTAAATGTCCACGGACCACTGCTGCAGGCACCCTCTTGAAGTCATTGCCCAAGTGTTTGCTTGCTAGCAAAGCGCCAGCGTGCCGCAGCATCCACCTGATTGAAATCCTGGCCCCAAAGTCCGGCATACGATTGCAAAACCCGATTGGATGTCGCATGGAGCACACACTTTGGAAATAAAAGTAGTTTGACTGATTGAGGCTTACAAGTTGGTTGGCTGAAGTTGATGCACACGTGCACCTCGTGCCGATGTTGCTTGCCACGCTAACCCGCGAAACATAAGGGCCTCACTTGTTGTATGCTATCTCTCCCAAACGGGCAAAACCATGAGCATTGTACAGAAATGAGACCTGGATGCGGAACCCCCCCCCTCTCCCCACCAGGGAGGGAATCTAAAGTGCCACCCACGTTGCCCAACCCAGCAGAAGTTGTCTTGAGGAAAGTGATTCGCCATGGACCTCTTTCCACCAACCCACACTGGGCTGTCCTCAGATCCCCCGCTACAAGTTGAGAACTTTTAGTGGGTTAAATGGAAATTCCCACTAAACACTAAAAGGATCCAAAAAGCGGACCGGAACCGGATGGCTGGGAACCACCAAGCATAGGGGTCCACCCCGCTTTCTTTTTTCGCCGAGTGCGGCACCCACATGTTCCGCGGCAAACGCTTGCCCTTGGTCTTGCGGCCCATGCGAATTCCGGCGGCCAGCGCGGCCGAGACCTGTCGACGCGGCCGAGACCTGTCAGGCCATTTGGTTCTGTGGAATCTCCGGTTGGGGGAAACCCTTGTCTCACTGGCTGAGTGGATGGCTCACAAAAAGGCCAAACCTTATATTCACCACTAAAATGGTGTTCCCAAAAAGTTTAAAGTTCATGAACTTAGGAAGTGAGTTGTTGGGTTCCATGTCAATTTGCAGAAGCGATTTTCCCCCTTTTGTCGGGTAGCAAGGGCCCCCTCAATTGTGCCCTTTAACTTCGGGCTCAATGGACTGAGAGGGGAGCTTCCTTTGGGTGCGGGCACATGGCTGAGGTCCAGGTGTCACCGGTGGACATCGAGCCAAGGCCCTCGTCCTGGGCTCCTTTCCGGGGAGCGCCCTTTTCGGGCTCCATGTTCTGCAGGGAGAGAAGAAAAAGACTGCCTTGACACTGCCCATATGTAACCTGCACAAAGTGGGAGGAACAAGTCCAAGCAAAGGGGCTTGGGTGTCCTGTCACATTGCTCATGTTGGACCTTCAGGCGGAGAGCGCAAAACCGCCGCAGGTGAGGCCTATTCCCGCCATAGCTCAAACACACGTCTGGGATGGCAAAGGCTCGCCCACAAAAGATTGGGGCGGTGACCATCCCCAATTAACCTGTACTAGAGGGCGGGGTTCTTGCAAGTCCCAGGTGTGTCACGGTCAAAACGACTTTTGCTGATGGTCATGGTTTGTTAAGGGACGTCGCTATTGGATGTCTTAAAACCCCTCAAGAGGTTGCCGACCAAATAAATCATCAAGCAGCGGTAGGATGCTTTTACCATGGCGCTGAGTGCCGCTCTGTTCAGTCCAGTCATGGGAAAAAGAGAGGCAGTTCTTTATTTGATGAGTTTGCAAATGTGCTTCCAAAACCTCTTCATAGTTCCAAAAGCTGAACTAAAAAAAAACCTAGTCAAGGACCTTTATCATGGTAAGCCGGTTTTACCCCCAGGTGAGCTCGCCATAAATTAGGCAGAGCTCCTTCGCCGTCGCCGCGCCTTGAAGAAGAAATCCTTCCGATTGGTTCCTCAGTTCGGGGGCGGCAACAAAAATCCAACGGCGCCAAGCTTCCAACTGAGGAAAAAAAGGCCCAGACCTCCAGATGTGCTTGGGGAAACAGGCACGCCCTCAACTTAGCTGCCCAAAGGACCAAAATATGTTTAGTATCATTGTCATAACTACTATTATCATTATTATCCATTTGTTGTTTTTTTTTTTAAGGAAAACGTTCGGGACCAGGACTATGGAGTACATCCGGGACACCAAGTGTTCAAAAGGTCGGCCTTGGGCAACTGAGTCAAAAGGGAACAAGTGCCTTTTCTGGAAGTCAGGGAAAGCAGATTTATGGCAAGCTAGCTGATTGATCAGCGGTCCCTTTGCAGTCCCTTCGATGGGAATCTCCGCGTGTTGGGCGACCCCTGTTCATCCGCTTGACTACTCCATGGTAAGCCGACATTCAGATGTACCTCGCATGCTAACAGGAGCAACCCCCAGTCAGTCGCATGTTATATTTTATCATTGCACCAACCTTTCCTTAAATATAGTTAAACGGTTAAACCACTGAAACACAACCTCTTGTTGGCTCCCTTTGAGTAAAGGTGGCCGGGATGTGGTTATTTTCGAAGAAATTATGCCTACTACCAAATCTGGATGGCCCAATTGGTTCCAATTCGAGCTCCATCTCAAATCCGTGGCCTGCGCAGCGGCCCCTTGTTACGACAAAAGTTGAAGACTGACTTGTGCGATGGGGATAGCTAACACATGATGCTGAAGGGGCTTCTGCCCAAACATGGAAGACAGGAGTTTCTGCCCAATAGCCTGCTTTGGCTTGACCTCCCACCCGAAAAGCTTTAAATGGAAACCCCCACTCACCGTGGATTGGTCAGAACTCTGGACTTTCCAACTTTTCAATGCCTCCGAAGAGGCCCCTCAGCAAAACAAACAAATCCAAAACGAACAAACAAAAACCTCACTCCCACTAACATGGCACCTGATAAGGGAAGGAAAACGATCTTCCAGGTACCCTCACACACGTGCTATGTTAGTAAAACAAGGAGGGAAGTACGTTGAGGCCACCTCGAAACTATCCCGGTCACACCAGTTGCCATGCTTATGCTTCAAAATAGGGATACCGATGCAATAAAGTCCGCCAAACAAGGGTACCAGCTAGAAACTCTACACACCCAATTATTCAAGGGCAGTTCTAGGATTGGCTTTGCAGGTGCGGAGGTTATGTACTACTTGTATAAGGGGTGTATATGTACACATGAAACATATAATGTATACACCGTTTTACCAGCTTATGTCTTGGCATTACACAGCGCTCCCAATATCCCACCTTAAAACATCACCCCCACCAAGGGTCACTCACCGTTGGGCCAAAAAGGTGATGTTTAAAACCGAAAAGGATATGTAGGGAGCCTGGTATATCCATATATGTGTGAAACAATAAAACAACAATAGTAATAATGATAATAATAATAATAGTAATGCTAGTAATACTAATAACAATAAAACTGCTACTAATAAACTATAACAAATAAGAAAACACAACACTAATAATAAAACAACAAAAATAATCTCACAACTAAAAACATAATAGTAGTAAAGAAAGAAATAAACAACAAAAACAACAAATAATCCATACAATCCAACCCACCGCAAGATACCAACTGACCAAAAGCCTGTGCCGTCAGGGCTCCGAGGCCCACCTCCGGCACCCCGAGCTTCAGGGCGAAGATGAAGCCCAGCTTCTTCCGCAGCTCTCGGAGCTCCTTGGCCTCCAAGGGATGGAGGCAGCCGCGCAGGTCGCGGGGGTTTTGGGTACATTGGGTCCCTATATTTCCCTTTTTGGCGGTTTTAAACATCACCTTTTTGGCCCATGAAAGGTGAGTGTCCCTTGGTGGAGGGTGATGTTTTTGACGGGAAATATATGTTGGCCCCAAAAAAATCAAACTCGGTTTACTAGTAGGGGGTGCCGAAAAGCACATCTGCGCCCACATGTCACCCAGAATCGGACACCCCTTACTAGTAAACCGGGGTTGATTTTTAGGGGGTCAACAACCTATGTATGCAAAAAGAAAGCGACCTGCGCCCACATTTCACCCAGAATCGGACTGGGCCAGAAGGAAGCCAAGCATTGAGGTCGCATCGTATGGGCATGGCTAGCAGGGCAGCACCCTGGGTGGTTGTGGGTGGGGTTGGTCAAGGGTTCGTTACGGCTTGGCTAAGGGGTTGGTTTAGGCTGGGCGCTGAAGAGCTGGCGAACCTGGGAGCAGGAAGCCCACAGGAAAGAATTTTCATTGGGTGAAGTCGGTAAAAAGCAAAGCCCTTTGTGAACTCGCTTGGATTGAGTGGGTCAAAGCTTCGAAGCCTCTTGTTCTCCACCCTCTCGTTCATTCTACCGCTTTGAATACCCGAAACGGTCTTTTCACCGACGCATGGCATCAGCACAGAGGAACAATGGCTTTTCAGTGCGCAGAGCTTGGATTCCGGTTGCAGAATGCCCAACAAACTGCAACCTTGAATGGGATCTGTTGCATACGGGAGGCAACAATGAAGCAAAGTTCCCCATGTATCCCCATGTGCCATAACTAGACGCCCAACACTCGCAAAATGACAAGCCTTATTATTTTGCCAAAGTCACTCCTAAAGTGGAGGTCAAAAGGGTTGTCAACCCCAGCTGACTTGAGTAACCCCGATTCACACAGAACTTCCATTTGCTTTGTCGCCCCCTGGGAAAAATGAGAAAACATACTTCCAGTAGTGTGAAATCGATTCCCTTTAAAACCAACCAGGGGAAAATAAATATTTGTTCAAACCTCAGCAAACTGCAGGACTCCTCTGCGCATGATGGTGGCTGCGTCAAGCCGCGTGGTTTCGAACACGCGGTTCTGCGAAACGACTGACGCCTGGCCACGCCGCACTGGCAGCACAGGTACACCCCATTGAAAGGCCTCGGAAATACGAAACGCGCGAGCGGTTTTTGTTCGAAGGACCTGAGGACTCCCGTGCATTCACTTGCATGCCAGTACAGTATAATATATAGAAATATGCGTGCATAACATGCGTTTCACACACAAAGCATAGCAATACAGCACATACATGTACGCACATGTACGTACATGGAAAACATGAAACACATGGCGAACAGGGGGGGATGTACTCAACTAAATAGAGGGCACTTTCCCTTGTTTGAGTTGTTTCAGCGTGTCCTTTGATCCTCTCTGGGGACCAAACGCCCCAAGCTGAATCTTGGTTCAGCTGACTTGAAGCAGAAGCTTCGTCACTCCTGACTCCTGACCGCCCCTTGGAACCGTCCGAAAATGGGCGTAGGAACTCGGCCGAGGCCCGGAAAAATCTGCCAAAATGCAACCTTGGTAAATGGAACCAAAGACTAAAGCCTGCGTAACCCCTGCGTAATTTTGAGCCACACTCACCTGACCATGGGTCAAAATCCCCTACCCCCAGTGAACATCCCAATCCAACCACTAAAATAGGTTCTAACATCATGGGTGGTGAATTCACCTACCAACCAAAATGGGATCCCAAAACGGTTTTGACAACCACAGCCTGAGAATCTGTCTGGGGCCCATTGGGTCCAGCCAAATGCCGGGCTATCTCCTTGAGGCCCCTGCCCAGGTGCAGTCTTGAAGCACGGACGCATTCTCCAGGGCCTCCTCTCACGGTTCGATCAACGAATTTTCCCTTTTGCCCCAGCAAAGGTCGTCTTGGATGCCTTTGCAACTTATGGGCGCAAGTACAAAAAAATGCCGGTCATCCACTTGACTTTCCCCGGCATGGATGAAATTATTGTTGTTTTATCAGTCGCAAGTGCGCAAAGTGCTGACCCAAAAGGGCGACACCAAACTGGTTGATTCCTGAACCCCATGACTACTTGTCCTTCACAACGGTTCCGGTATCACATGACAGGAAGCCAGTGAGAGAAGGGCCCAGTTACACGTCTTCCTACCTCATCCCAAAGTGATTTGGCTTCAATCGCAGGTCTTTGCCGGTGTTTTCCCAACGGGATTCCAACCACTTGGGACCCAAAACGGGTGACTTCCTCGTCTCAACCTACGACTCTTCGTGGCTGGGGCACGGGGCCCGCTTCGCTTCGGAAGTTCCTGGCTGGCGATGACGATGAGCACCCGAGAGCCACGGATCATCTCCTGAAGGGCGATCCGGGAGCTTCAGGCGATGCAGGCGCCGAGGGCCAATCCGCGGCCTCCCTACATTTCCCCCGCAACCAAAAAATAACCTACCGGCCCCATACCAAGGGAAACTCACCTATGGGCCAAAAACTTTAAGGTGATGTTCGAAACTCACCTCAAATTAGGGAAGTACAGCGACCCCTGGAAAGAAAGCAAGACAAGGGTGGCAGCTGAAAATGAGGTTGGCTTGTTTGGAGGTGAGGTTTGATAGCACTTGTAGGGCATTTTGCTTCTGCTTCAAAATGGAGATCCAGAATTCTGAGGAAGGAAGCTGATCTGAAACCCAGCATGCACTCAAAACTGTTTTAGACAGCAGACAATTCACCTTTGCCAAAGATCTAACCATGAAACCAACCATCATACAGTGTTGGTCTGAAATTCCGTCCTCAGTTGGCTGCGCAACGCCAGGAATAGAAGGCAAACTGTTGCGAATTTCGGGGCTTCCGAATCAATCAGACTTAAAAAATGAAACCTGAAGGAGTGCCGCTTAGGCCACCTTCCTTTTGAAGTGGTGCCTGTCAGATGTTGAGCTTGAGTTCTGGGGAGGCAATGGAATCTGCCAACGCACTGGGCTAACTCCTTCGCATCTTCAACCAACCCCGACTGCCCAGCGACGTCCTCACGATCTTTCAGCCACCTTGGCACGCGCTTTTGCACGGGCCAGCTTTAGCAGCTGTCGGGAGAGTTGCTCTGACCGGATCGGCATCGAAATTCGGTCCCTGGCAAAGGGAAACGGAACGAGATCGACCCACTTTTCTACTCTCGTGGCTTGATCTTCTAAAGCCCGGTCTACGTCCAGCTTGACAAATCTAGCCACATCTGGGGAATGCATGCAAGGGGCCGAGGGGCGCAATCCTTATAGTAGACACACATCCCCGTCCCCAATGGGGGATTCTGGAAAACTCTCAAAACACAAACTCCATCATTTTGGTAACGCTAGAACAAGGGGCAACTTTGTTCATTTGCTTCCCAGCTCGACTACCTTCCCCTGTCGATTGGAATCATCCCGGCCCTGCAAACCATGCCGGCCGTGTAGCCATCAAGTTCAATGCAAAGCAGGCTCCCAAAAATGGCATCTTGACACAGGTGAGGGTCCATGTTTGGAAGGTCCCCCGCCCGCAAAAAAACAAATGGATCCCTGCAAACACCTCTGAGCCTCTCTGTGCGGATGGGGTCTTTCCATCTAGGCGTTGCTACGACTTGAGGTCCTGGGATCTTCTCCTACAGTTTCGTGAGACAATGTGGCGCTCAGGTGGCTCAAAATTCAAAACCGGAAGGGCAAACCGCAGGTCTAACGGTCCAGGCTTCCACTTACCGGGGTTCTAGTTTGGTAATTACCGGTTTTTTGAGCCACGGCCATGTGTTTTGTGTTTCTGGGCTGTCCACTTTTCAGATCCTCGGAATAAAAGTTGTCTAAACTTGCGGGTTAAATGGTAACTGCCGCTGAAGCCCGAAAACTAAGAAACCGGATGGCTGGGAACCACCAAGTGACATGTTAACCAACCGTTAACCACACGGGGCATCACGCGGCATGCTGGCCCTCGCTCACTGCAACGTCAACTATTAAAGCCTCAAATTGCAAAGCATCATGTCCTGGACAGAAAGGCGCCCTTTTGTGACTTAGCCTTATCCATCAGCCCCCCCCCCCCCATGCCGCAAACTTCATGACCCAGCGGCTGTGTGAAGGAGTCGCTGGGTACATCGAGCAAGAGAGATGTGTCCAGATCCTCTCGGTTGCTTTCTGCTCCCCTGCTGACAGTTTAACTTTTAGCGGTTGAATGGAAAACCCATTTGGCAAAAAGTTAAAGTCCCAACATCCCTTGGCAACATGCACCAAAGGACTGACGCCTGGCCACACCGCACTGGCACAAACACACCCCACAAGCACACGCACCACTTCCATTTGCTTTGTCGCCCCCTGGGAGAGGAAAAAAAAACATGTTTCCAGTAGTGAAATCGATTCCCTTTAAAACCAACAGGGGAAAATATTAAATATTCATTTCAGCAAGTGGACCAAAGTCCTCCTTTGCCTCCGCTTCCTGTTCCTCAGCGCCCGTGGCCTCGTTCGGCTCCTGAGCAATGCGGATGGACGTGCGTCGCTTTAAGGGGATCCTAAAAATGGTGCTTGTCCCTTTGGGTTCCCTTCCAACCAACCCCAAAAACAAATGGGGAACCGGAACCACAAAATAAACATACCTGCAGCTAGATTGTGCGTGCAGTCTTGTTATCTCCTTAGGTCCCTCTGTAAAAGCACATTTGAATACACCAACCCTTCCAACCACCAGCAGGTCAGTGTTAAATAAATGTCCTTTCCGTGGATCCCTCCTTCTTGGAATACCGTGTCAATCTGGGGGTATTGGTTAAAAGGCCAAGCATGTGTCCGTGTGCCCTAATGGTGCTGGAGTCACCCGGGCACTAAAAGGGGTGCTCACCCCGAACGGAAAGTTTGCCTTGACAACCTTTGGTATGGACTGGCAAACTTTTGTTTCTTGCAGCCCACTGAAAATGAACAGAACCCCCCCCAAAAAAATAAAACACCACCAAACAAAAAAAACACACAACATGAAAATAAAACAACCACTTGACCCAAGAAACCCTTTCAAATAAAACACCGCCTATCAACGCAAGCAGGAGTTGAGCTGGAATCCCACTGAGTGGCTCACCGTGTGAAGCTTGCATTGCCAGCTGGAAGCCAAGTGTCGCTCGTGAACCTTTCATGGGCAAACAAACAAGGAAAAAAAACATAGCTTGTTTCGTTGTCTTTTGTACCAACAAAAAAAGAAACAAACAAAGACACGCACACACACACACAGGCCAACACGCAAGGAAACAACCGCACATGACAAAACTAGCCATCAATCAAGCAAGCGCAGAAACATACAGCTGTGCGCAACCCAAAGCCAGTCCGCGCCTCTTAAAGAAGCTTTGCACCCCCGCGGGGCAAGCAAAAAAACAATCCCTCCCCCCAAAATAAAAGCAACAACAAAAAACAAAACACAAAAAACAACAACAACACCCGGGCAAGCAGCTAGCAACAAAATAATGCCTCTTCCCCAACCAAAAAAAACAAAAATGACAACGCAAAAAAACAACAACACAATCCCTCCTCCCCCCCCAACAACCCCCCCAAAAAAAGTGTCTCAACTGCGCAGGCCTCCATGGAGCGCAGGGACATCCTCCGGGACTTGCGGCCAGCCTTCCCTGCCGCCTGCGCCTCCTGCGCGTCTTGGGCGGAGGTTTTTGGGGGGTGCGGGGGGCGTGTCTTCGTGGATGTGTGTCGTCACTGGGCTGCACGTTTTCAGATCCCCCGCTAAAAGTTTAGCTTTTAGTGGGTTACATGGAAACCACTAAACACTAAAAGTAAAAAGGCTAAAAAAGCTAAGGGGATGGCTGGGAGCACCCAAGTTCGTGGCGGTTTTCTGGTGGCGGTTTTGGGGTTTAGAGGTGCAACGGTTTTTATGCCCTAGCCCTGGCATTGAAGCGCACCTGGGGTTTATTATTTATGCTCCGAAGGATTCTATTGCAAAAACAGCTCCATCTATCGCCCGCGCCGGCGGACTAGAAGGAAGCTCGAGTGCTCTCGGCTGAAGGCAACCAAGTTAAAACCGCCAGGGTCAAAGCTAGAGCCGTATCAATGGCAAGTGGGAGCACTGCAGAATCATCAAATGAGTCTCATCCTGATCAGTCCCACTCTGTTGCTTTGCACATGCAGCACGCTGGTTGAGGGGAGCGGAGCAGACCAGGTGCCCGAAACAACCACACGCAGCATGGGGATGGGTGTAGAGTGGAGACGAAGCTGTAACGTGCCATGTCCCAACTGCCGAGTACCCGGCTTTTGTGAGTTATGTTGGAAGTGATGACAGTGCGGTCGCTCGGCCATTGGGCACTAGGTGGGGCCACTCGCACCGTCGCAAGCTTTACAAAGAGGGCCTGGCGGGAAGCCACCTAGTCACAGGGAGCCCAAGTGACCCTGGGGTGGAGCCATGAAGCTTTTTGTAGGTCCTCCAGTAGAGAGGTTAGAATAAGGGCATCCATTTTTTCTGTAGTCTATTTTAGTAGGGACCCCTCCCCAAAAAAGCACCACTGGGAACCTAGTTTCTTGATTCGAAGAGAATTCCCCCAGGCCATGAAACGGTGACACCGTGATACCAAGCTGTGTCAGCGCCCCTCGGGCTCAGACCTTATGCGATCCCGAGGAGACTTCTCTTAACGCGTCAAGCTGATCTCTCTTGAAGTCAGGTTGCCCCTCTCGGAGGCCAGAGAGGGTGAGTTTACCCTGGACCAAAACACATCTCGCCATCCTTTTTCGGGTATGGAGTCGGCCCCGTGATGTTTTCCACCAGCTGTGTTGTTTTTTAAATGCGCAACCATGTGATGTGCTAAACCGGCTTCCGAGAGGAGATTGCAAGTTATAGTCAGGCGACCCCTGCTTGGTGGTTTGGATTGGCTTGGGGAACTCCAGGTTCTGTTGAGGGTAGATGGGAAGCTACCCCCCAACCAATCCAAACTACCGGGCTCCAAACCACGAATTTGAGGAAGCTGACATACCAACATGGCCCAACTGAGATAACTCTTGGACGCTAGAAGGGGATGAACCAAAAGCCCAAGCCAAGCAAGCAGGCAAACAGCTTCAACCCCTGGAGTCAAAGACTTTCGTGTCGCACTCAAAGCCCGGTAAAATGGTGAACCCAGAACCATGTAAAGAATTAAGAAGGCAGATATCCAAAGCTCTTTATGGCAAGGAGATCGTCCCTTAATAACCTTCATCTACCCGAATCGGTTTTGAGCAAGTGGCTCAGTTCGACTAACCTTCATCTACCTGAAATTTGAGCAAGTGGCTCAGTTGGCGAATGGCCTCCCGCCTGCTTGGCCTTCTCCTCTCGCAACGCCATCCGGGCCTCGGGCCGGCAGAGCGAGTGCCAACTTCCAGCTTGGGCCCGAACTGGCCGTCCACACCACGTCTAAGCCACGGGACCCGACAAGTTTCCTCAGAGCCCATCCGTTGTTCAGTGACCCTGGTAAAAAGGGAACCCTTTTTGGGGAAGACCATGTTTAGTGGGGCAGCCACCCCCCCCCCAAAAAAAAAAGAGGGAACAGGGTGCCAGTGAACAACTGAGCATACGCGCAAGAAGAGCGCCCAAAACCCAACTTGAAACAATGGCCCCGTGGAGCCGACGCGATTAACCATACGTCCAGCAGACCCTTCACATGCGTCAACATGCAACCCAACCCTGCAACCCGCGCCCCCAGAAGAACACGGTGTTGCTTGCTCTGAGGAGGACATGTTTAGCGGACCCCCTTGCAAAATGATTTACAAGCTGCACTGTTGAAGCCCTGCGAGTGATGCCAAGTGTTTAAGACCTGTGGCCAAGCTTGGTTGCTGTTGACCCCTCTGCAACTATGCAACAGGTTTAACTTGTTGGAGGACGATACAAACAAACTGCTTCCCAAAAAGCCAAAGTCCAAAGGTCCAACCAAACAGCCATAACGAAACAAAACATGCCACTGTCACCTGCACATTCCCAATCAGAAAAGGCCATCCCCATTGCAAACACGGTGTTTGCCCCAAACTTGCTGGTTGTCAGGGTCTTAGGGAATGAGAGAAAGCAGGCTGGCCCCCAACGGCGCCAAGAGGCGGCATCACGGGGCAGTTGCGCATAGACCTTAGGCTTCGAAGACGGCAGAAGATCTCGAGGCCATGACGGGCACGATCTACGTGGAGACCAAACCGCTCGGCGGGAACGGCTAAAAGTTGGGAACCGGTAAACCCAACTTAGATGCTGACAGCTGGAGGTTCACCCACCAAAATAATGTTGACCCCATATTAAGCAACCTCAGCTTATTAATTTGGGGGTGTTCCCTCCAATAGTGATGATTCCCCACTAATCCCAGGGACTCCCCCATATTAAAAAACAGGGGTGTATTAATATGGGGTCAACATTACAGATCCCGGATGGAAAAACCGGAAAAAGACTCACAGCCACATCCCGCCCTTCTGTGCGGTTCTCACTCAACACGGATTTCCGAACTGCAGCTGCGCTGCGGATAGCGACCGCATATCGCCTGGGCAACGCTTTTGGCAATCTGACCCAGCCGCGTGCACTTTGATGTGCCCACGCCCCAACGGGTGGATGACCCAAATAAGTTCCCGAACCTTTTTGTTCACCACTAAAATGGTCCAAACCCCAAAAGTGTGTCAAGTCCAGGAACTCAGGGAGTGAGAAATGATGACTTGCAAGACATGTCAACAAGTCGTGTCGGATGTGCTTCTGGCATGGTAATGGTTGTTGAATACGTTTGACAGGGGCAAAAGTAAGAGTCAGCGTGAGTAGCCTAGAACAAAATCTAAAGCGCGTGCGCTGACGTTAGTGCCTTCACGCGGTTACTGACGGAATTGCAATTCTTCTGAGCCTATTGCCTGCTCGGGCTAGCTGCAAACACCTGCCATGTCGAGTGCTTGCGATGGCACTGCAAAACATTGGAGTTGTTTTCTCACTCCCTGCAACTAGCTTCCTGACAGAACTGGGTTTCCGCGTTCTGAGCCCTAATATCAAATTCTCAGCCTGAGCAATGCAAGTTTTTCATGCCAGTTGTCTTACCACGGGCCTAACTTGGAAGAAAATCTGAGTTATAGCTGCCGTCACTCCACACGAAATGCAAGTACGCCGTGTTGCTTCTTTGTTTTAGGTCCTACGCCGAAGCTTGCCCCACATGAACAGGACCATTAGAGGCAATGATCTCGGCTCCCGTCAAGAGAGCCGTGGTAGTGGCTGTGCACAGTAGATTCCAAACTCAAAAGGCCAACGCTACCCGTAGTAACCCCAAGCAAAGGGGTCCTTTGACCATGGCCCGTGAGTGCTTGCAAAGCGCAGACGCAAAGTTGTCACAAGCGCTTCGAGCAGATGCCTCAATGTGACCACCAAACATCATCATTGGTAGCATTCTGGCTTGTTGTTCAAAAATAACCTCGGAATTTATTTGTCTAACGGAGAGACCACCTGATGGGCAATGAGTGAGTGAAGAGTGCCAGCCGGTTTCTTGTCCCTTCCACGTCTACACCTTCAGATTGATGCGAAGCTGGCCATTTCCTTCATTCCTTATCCATTCGCTTCTCTCATCCCACCTCCACACAGCCAAGAGAAGGAGGTGAGGGAAGGAAATTAATGACGAAAACCTGTTCGTTCCTTTCACTCGCTTCTACATCCCCTCACTTCTTCAATTGAATATTTGAGGATTACCTTGGAAGCAGGTTTACGGACAGGTAACTTATCTTCTTTCATTGATGACTTGTTGGTCTGTTGCGTGCATGTCCTTTCCAATCATTATTCACTTTATTCCGATCAAATTGGTGATTAAGAAATAGATGCAGACGGTGAATGAAGAACTTGGACAGTGATGAAATAATGTTGGAAATGCTGTTTACTCTCCATCACCTGTCATCCATCTCCGGGACTCACTGATACATCTTGTTCAGGATTGACGGATTCTTAAGCCTCGACTGTCTGAAGCCTCAATTGACAAAGCCATGCACCGCGCTCACTCTGATCAATCCGACCCGCCAAGGTGTGAGCTGCGATAGAAGGCGGTTTGCAGGCTTTGCATCTCTTTCCAAGAAGATTTGGTTACTCTCCGAAACCCGAAACTTGGCTGCTGTAAACAAAAAAACCTCTCGCTCTGGAAGAAATATTTAGCTTTTTGTGGGTCCAATGGAAAATCCGGAGAACGAATACCCAACCAAATTGCCATAAAGGAAAGGTCACCCTCGCTTTTGTTCCAGAAGGGGAAGTTGTGGAGGCCTGCGTTTTTCAGTGATTGTATTTTATGTTGTTTTTGAAGTTTTGTGCTTTCACGAGCAGAAGTCTGTGGCCTTCACAAGTGTCCTCCCTTAATATGTCGGCATAGACTTAAGAAACAAGAAGAAACAAACATGAAACGCAGTGAGGTGGTCTGTCGAACCCAAGGCACGGTTTGCATTCCTCATGTGTAGCATCAGAAGGGGGGGGGGGGGCGAGAAAAGAAAAATACAAAACAACTTGAACATGTCAAATCCTTTTTTTGCCCCCCAGACCCCCCAAAGGATGCCTTGCTTAGTTGAAAAAATCCTTGAAGTTGCATGTGATTCAGTTGCATAGATTTGAACTCAATGGGTCACTCTATGTATGAATTGAGCTATGCGTCTTAGTAGCTTATACACTTAGCCAGTGCTTGCTGCTTGAGCATTTGCATGAATAGCACCATACTGGCCAGCCTCTTGTGCATTTCATGATGCAGGATGAGAAGTGGGCATAGGCAGTTTAGCTAGCATCAAAAATGCAGACCTCCGTTCAATGAAATCTGTGTTTTTCTTGCGAAAACTAGAGTTTTTTCATGTAGCGCAATGTAGCTCAAACATTTCTGTGTTCCATTGTTTGTTGTGTTTCTGAACACATGTTTTTGGGGGCTGACCATAGGAAGCCTACTGATCAGAAATTGTGTTGATGACCTATGGAAGGTGCAAGTAGGAAAAGTTATTCTCTTACCTCCTCCCGCAGCATGGATTGCACGCCACCAGCAAGCATAGGAGCTTGAGATTTTATCTTTACTGATGCAGAAATTAACGTTGCCCTCTTGCAGGTGGTCTGCCTTGCCACTCAGATTTCCAAATCTAGTGGCAATATGATTAGTGATCTTTTCTTCCATTCAGCATATCAAGGGGGAAGAGCACCCTCCCCACATGATCTGCCAGCAATCCATGGCCAATGGAAAGGCTCACCCCCCAAGCTCAGGTAGCAGCTTGGTAGCCTATACTATGTGGATTTCTTTCAACAAGGACGCGGGGGAAGGAGCCTCATCATCACAACTGGCAGAGGCCCACTAACCTCTTGTGAGCTACCGGCATGCGAAGTGGATGCAGCGGGGTGGTTGGTCAGATCCTTGTCTGCTGGAACCAGCATCTTGCATTTCCACTTGCACTTGGCATGCATGAAGCTCACAAAGGGTTGGTGGAATGACAGCCTGTGCAAGTTGTAGTGATGAGAGTCCTTGCCCCACTTCCCTGTGAACAAAATGCACTTACCCTAGGCTACCAAACTGCTATCTGCGCTTGTTTATTTCGGCCTGGAAATGAGGGGGCTATCCCGTTATCCCCACTTGCCATTCTGAATCAGCTACAGACAGATCACAAGTCACATTGCCAGTAGATGGAGGTGAGGCAGACCACCTGGCAAGTGGGCAACACTAATGTCTGTATCATTAGAGATACGATCTCTAGCTCCTGTGCTCACTGGTGGCTGCAATAAATTGTACGGGAGGAGGAAAAATAATAACTTTTCTACGTGCACCTTCCATAAGTCATCAACACAACTTCTGATCAGTAGATATCTTAGTCAAATCTAAAAACAGTTTGTTCGTAGAGAAGCAAGACAGCAATGGAACCTAGAAATGCTTTGCCCTAAAACACAAACTGGTTGAGGAAAAACACAACTTTCACTGAAAATCGCAGGCCCCCACACCGTCCCACACTATTTTGTTTTGCTGTGAGCGCTTGCTTGCTACTTGCACGCACGCGTCAATGTGTCCGTGCAAAAGCTCGAAGCCTCCGCATTGCATCGCATTGCCCCGCGATCCTGCTTGCCCTGCAAAGTCACATGGAACCCGGAAAGGGGTAAGCGATTCCTCTGCACGTGATTGTGTTTTGCTTAAACGTCTGGGCTGCCCTCAGGTCCCCCGCTAACAGCTTAACTTTTAGTGGGTTAAATGGACACTACCACTAAACACTAAAAAGCCAAAAGGCTAAGGGGATGGCTGGGAGCCACCAAGACATGTGAATCCGTCGGGGATGTCTAACAGCCAAGGGGCAAAAGAGCCGAAGCCAACGGGCAAGATCTTTGTCTGAATACTGGTAGCTCCTCAGTTCCCCCGCCAGACGCCAAGCTGCTTGAAAGGGAAAAATGGAACCAACAGTTGCGGTTCAAACAAAAGGTGGTCAAACATGTTCAAACAAACCCTGACCCTGTTGCTCTCTCTCTCTCTCTCTTTGTCTCCATGCCCCCCTCTCTAGCGCAAGCTATCCACATGGTCCCAAATAAGAGCGCAGTGGAACCAACAAGACTCCTCTGATGATCTGATGTGGCAATAGTTTGGCTAGACCCGGCTAGACCCAAGTTCCCTCCTGCTAGGAGAAGGCTGGGGAGAAGAACATCGAGGCCACAGAAAAACAAACATGAATTCTTGAAATGCCGCTTCCGTCTTAAGAGTTTGGCCCTGCTTCGTACGAAAAACACGCCAAACCCAAAGCCTCCAAAGGCAAAAAGTGTACCACTGATCATTGCCTTCAAGGCCATCGGCCTTAGGCGTACCTCAAGCCCAGCTCAAGCGTGCGACTGAAGACTAGCTGTGAATGGCCCGGGAAGGAGACCAAGACCCAGTCGGAAGCCAGAGTCTTTGTGACCTCCACAGTTGATATGCCCAATCGATTGGGGAACCTTTCGACTTCTCTCCAAGCAGGTTGGCCGAAACCTGTCCTCGGGACCCACGGGTCAGGGGATTGAGCCTGTTCAATATGTTTCGCCAATCCCAATTCATTGGAACTCCACTTGAAGCATGAACCATGGAACCCACCGAAAAGACCCGCCCGTGAAAATTCCACCGCAAAGGGATGCGGCATATTAGGGAAGCCCTACACTTGGTTGCTGTTGACACCCCTGCAAAAAGTTTAACTTTTTGGGGGGTCTAGTGGAAACCCCCTTGATTTCCCAAAAGTTAAAGTCAGATCCAACCCAATAGCAGTCAAATACACCTCATCCAAGAAAATCAGAGGGGATCCTCTGGATTTCACACAGCCTTGCCTGGGAGCTCACCCCACCCTCCCCCATCCCCCCCTCCCTACCAACATAAAGCATCTGACCAGGCGGCCTTGGTAAGGCTTTCTTCAGACAAAACCCATATGCTACCTACAAGCAATCCTCCAAATCGTTCGTTTTTTTAGGTGAAGTGACCTGGCGTTCCCCGAAGCTTCGGGGGCCACCGCTTTCGGCCCCTGATCCGAGGCGCACGAAGATATCCCGGCGCTTGCTGGCAGAGGTCCTGCGGTAGATGAGCCGGAGGAAGGCTTGCTGCACCTCGGCAAGCCCGAGGCTGGCTGAAGTTTGGGCGACACGGAAGCCAGCAGTGCCACCAGTTACCCTCCTGTTTACCTGGCACCTGTTGGGTAAGGCTCCGAAAAGGTTTGGTGGTTCACTCGGTTGCTTTGCTCCCCTGCTGAAAGTTTTCAACTTCTAGTGGTTGAATGGAAAACCCATGAGTTGGCAAAAAGTTAAAGTCCTAAGTCCTAACATCCAAGTTTAGAATGCACCTCTGTGAAGTCAGGGCGAGCAGGAAGCCAGCAGTTGCCCTCCTGTCCACGTGGCCATGGGTCAAAAGCCAAATCGTACCCCCAGTGAACATCCCAATCCCACCACTAAAATAGGTTCTAAAATGGGTGCTGCGCCTACCCCAAAATGGTAGCATTGGTGTTGACCCACAGGATCCGACGATCCGGGGTCCTAGAAGATTCTGTTAGGATTTGCAGGTGAATTCTCTGGCAGGTTCCATGGCGACGTGAGCCTGTCAGGTAACTGGTGGACTGCTGGCTTCCTTCTCGCGGATCTCAAGATGTCATTCCCACCGAAGGTTGTCAACCCCAGAACCTGTTGGATGAATGAGGGCATGCGGTACTGACAAAGGCAGAAACACCCTATTTACCAAACCATGGAGTTAGAATTCAAGCGACTATAGCAAGCATGTATTCGGATAAATGCTGAGTTGTCCCCTGCAACAAACTTTATTGGGACACAGGTTCCCCCAAGGGAGCCCCAAACTACCCCATTGAGTGGGCCCCGCTTGGCCTTCATGTGGCTTGCTTGCTTCACTGGCCTCTTTGTATGGGAGTGCGCCGCTCAACTTCATTTAACCTTAACCTCACACCAGGTAGCTTATATTGGCCTTGCATTGGCCTCAGGTGCGCCTTGTTTGCCCCAACAGGTAAGCTTAACTCTGTCCCTAAAAGCAATGTGTGAAGGGTTTTTTCCATTTTCTTGGTGGGAGTGGTTTGGGCGGAAGCCATCAAAGGGGCCTTTTCTTATTCAGCTGCCGCTTGCATCGTCTTCAAGGGCCCAAGAAGGATCCGACGCTGGCCCTTCTTGGCAACCACTTGCGACTGGTCGCTGATTACATTTTTCTGGGGGACTTCCCTATTTTCAAAATCATGGAAGGGGAACTCCCTGGAAGAAAAAAACGACAAAACAAAGCGGGATGGGAAGCCGCCTAAAAATAGAAAAAGGCAAAAAGAAAAACAAAGAGCCACCACTGGAGGTCCGGGCTTACATCTTCGTCCGTCATAGTTGGCTTCACTTCCGCGCGCGTGCCGAGCCCGGAGCCCGCACCAGCCAGGAGTAGAGGCCCTCGCCGCAGCGGCGCTGCCGCCGCCAGCGGCGCCCGCCAGGACGCACGCAGCAGGGCAGCAAGCAGCTCCAGAACTCGGGACCGGCAAGTCTAGGGGTCTTGGCTGGAACTAGGACCCCAGCAAAAGATTATATTTTTTGCCTGGTTAGTGGAAAACAAAGGGGACCCCAAAAAAGCAAAACAAAAAGGGGGGGGAACTAATTCTGGGCAAGGTCAATTCCCCATTCTTTCCAGGGATCCTTCTTTCTAGAAAACCAAAACCCAGGGGAAATGGCGATGGGTTATTGATGGCTGAAAAGAATGGGGAATCAACCACTAAAGCAACTCTTGCAAGATGAGCATGAAGCAGGGGCTGTGAAACATGAAGACTTCCAATCCCTTTTGATTGGCGTTTTGGACAATTACAACTTATGCCCTACTTAGGACCCAGACTAGGTAGCACCAATAAAGAATTGACGTCACCAACATCCGGACATATCTGGACATGAGTCAGCCTCGAGCCTCGCGACGGGCAACGAGCAATGCCGCCAAAAGCAACAGATCCAATCTGAGGAAGCCTTGGCCCAACCTCGTGTATGCCAAACAAATATGTTCAGATTCTGTTTCATATTGGTCAACCTTTAAATCCAAAGCTTGAAGCACACATCGTATTCGCCCCGTTGGAGTGCATTGAAAAGGTCATGCTGGCTAGCCCCTTCTTGGTGTCAAGGAGGGACGCAACAGGATTTAAGCCCTGGATTCAGTTTCTGGGTGTGGGTCAAAATTCAACCAGGAATCGGATGTTGGTCCTTGGTCCCTTGGTTGCATTTACCCGGGTTCCATTTTGGGTACCCATTTTTTTGACCCACGGCCTTCTGAGACTCTATGGGTCACGGGTTAAGGGCAAGGCACGCGGCGGCAGCGCCTTGCCTTTGGCACCTCCTCCGGCTCGTACCAACTTGGTCGATCGATCGCAAGGCACGATCGAAGCGCAGCAAGCGAAACTGGGTATGAGTTTTTTTGATTGGGGACACAAAGTGGTGGACATCAACCTAGGGAGTTTGATTCCAACAACTCTTCAGGGAGTTTTACCCAAAATGGTGGCAATCTAGGGGATTCAATTCCAACAACCACTCTTCAGGGAGTTTTCAAGCTGTCCAAGTTTCTGTACGGTGGGGGTGGTGGGTTCCCTGCCGAAAGCGACTTGGGGGGCTGAACTTTTGAGGATGGCACAATAGCGGGGGCAAGCAATTTCAATCCACAGGAGCTGGTACCTGTTCTGTGCCCATGGTGTGGGAATTCAACGACCGCAGCTTCAATAGTTGCAACAGTGAATGCACAAGCATACATTCAGGCACATACGCCAGCCGGCCAAGGGTCGCTTCAAAGGACCGCAGCTCGCCTACAACCCTCCTGTCACTCTGTTAGCAAGATACACCAAGCATTAACAAACAGCAAACGAGAAACTGTGCCGCTTGCGAGGAGAGCAATTTCCTCAATTCCAGCGTCAGCAAACGTGAGGACTGCAACACGCTCAGAAGGCGCATGGAACCTGAAATGTTGGGTGGGGGGGGGGGGGGGGGCGAAGCGGCTTTCGCCCTTGCAATTACGGGAATGGTCTGTCCGCAAGTAAGGGCATGATGTTTTTTGCTTTTCAATTATTATGTTCATTTATTGTGTTTTTTTTTCCCCCCCGTGGGGAAGTGCCATTTACTTTCACCCTGCATTGGCGCCATCTTGGGCATGAAAGTTAAGACCGGGCGCGGGTCCCGACTCCGTTGAAAGGGCCGCTGAAAAAGCTACCTCAGCTTCCCTCTGATTGGTGGTTTCGTGGTTAAGGGGAGGCTTCCCATTTACCATATACCCTCCATAACCAGAAGCCTTCAAATTCAATTGCTCCAACGCACAAGTCCAAACCAAGTAAGGGTAAAAAATCCAAGCCACCAACCAAGAGGTACCTGAGAGGCGACCTGTTTGGAGCCGGAAAAAAATCCGTAGGCCTGAACAACGGACCCCATGGGAAAAAAGAGCCCTTGAAGGGTCAATACCCTGAACGACTTTGGATGTTAGTCATAGGTTTACTGCGAACATATACATATTCTATATATATATATATATCTCTATTTTTATATATGTATGTATCAGCAAGGATTTTTCAGCGTCTTTGTTTTGCAGACCCTATCAAATTGCACGTCCCTTCCCTAGGATAAGTGACCCAGGGGACCGCCCTAGCTAAACATTGCCTACGATACAAGCTATAAACCATCTCTGGACTGCTTCTCCACCCCGAGGTAGCTTCTTGATGGCTCATACTATTGAGCTCGGGCATCCTTCGCTTTTGGACTGACCCTCTGCGCGAACTCCGGGCTTGACTGATCTTCACCCGGAATATAAGCCAAGTGCTTGGGCTCGAAACCCCGGCGCCCGGCGCCAGTCTTGTTTCAAGTGCAGCCAGGACACGGGGGACGAGCCAAGAGGTGGATGTCTCTGTCGTCCTCTTTGCCTCCAACAGCGTGGCTGTCAACATGTTACGGGCCCTTCCGGCTCAGCTTGTGGCTGGAGATCGTTTGGCACGGCGAATCTGGAGTTTTAATGTTACACCTCCTTTAATGATAGTGTCCTCTATTGTGCATTGTTTTCGTAATTCAGGATCCTGTGACTGTTTTAGGGGTCCTCTCTTGTTTTCCCCCTCCCCAAAAAATCCAAAAAAGTAGAGGCTTGTTTGTTTTAAACTCTCTGGCCTGGGCAGGCTCAGGTCGGGCTCAGGCTAGACTAAGCCTTTTTCGGCCGCAAAAACTGGCCAAAAAAGCCTGGCAAAAAATAGGGCAACCAAATCCAGGACAACACTTCGGAATTTCTTTTTGGAAGTGGTCCCCAAACCATCAAATTTATGATAACTTCTTTACAAACAAGTAAGGCCAATCAATCACACAAAGGGGGGTGCCCACAAGAGGCCCTGATTCTCTCTTCAATGTGACTGTTTTGGGGTCCTCTTTAGTCCAACTTGTTTGGGGGTTGCTGAAATTTCCAAATTAAAGCCTGTCGGCCTTTTACTTTAAAGGGTGGCTCACTTAACCAAGCTCTTCCCAGCTCAAAGGGTAAAGGCCTTAGCTCTAGGAAATCAATGTTGCAAGTTGTCCCCAAACCATCAAATTTAGGATAACTTCTTTACAAACAAGTACGGTCAATCAATCACACAAAGGGGGGTGTCCACAAGAGGCGCTGATCCTCTTTAATATGAGGTGACTGTTTTCGGGTCCTCTTTAGTCTCCAACTTTTTTAATAATTACTAAAAAACGGACTAAACCAAATGGAAACTCAAGTCTACCAATACTAAATCAAATTGAAACTCAGTTCCACATCTCAAACGGAAGCTCCAGCAATACTAAATCAAATGGAAACTCAGTTCCAAATCTGAAAAGGAAGCTCCAGCAATACTAAATCAAATGGAAACTCAAGTCTACCAATACTAAATCAAATTGAAACTCAGTTCCAAATCTCAAAAGGAAGCTCCAGCAAAACTAAATCAAATGGAAACTCAGTTCCAAATCTCAAAAGGAAGCTCTAGAAATTCTAAATCAAATGGAAACTCAAGTCTACCAATACTAAATCAAATTGAAAAAGTCCCACCCAGACCCCCAGGGTTTCCCTAAAGAGGGTCCAGCTGACTGGTTCCATTGTTCAGGGGGGTGGGTAGCATTCAAGAGGGTCCAACATTATCGGAAAGAGGCGCCCTTGCAACAGTGAAGTGCATCAAGGGTTGCTCAAGCCCTTTGACATAGACCACAGATTTGCTTCATCTTGAACCTTGAGCACTCCCTGCGCATCTGCCTGAGGGGCGCGCCGCACCAAAAGGTCAGTTGGGAGGAGGCTGGACATCAAAACTGAAAAATCAAATCTAGAAATTGAATGTGTCTTGTTTCATCTGTGGCTGGTTCCAGAGGGAAGGAAACCAAAAGGAAACCACCACTTCGCGGTCCGGCTTTTTTGAGACACGTCAAAATAGGCATCCGACTAAGTACAAGCTGGAATAGCCACAAAGCCATCGGGTGGACGTACGGTGGATTGCCTATCCCATGTTGAAACCTGTGCCACGTCCATGTGAACAGCTCCGAAAAGCTGTTGACTCTTGGTTGGTAGAGCCCAATATGGTAAAGGTTCGCAAGGCCTTACAGCTAGTAGAACTGGCCGCATTATTTTGCCATGATCAAAGTCACCCCCTAAGCGGTGGGTTGAGGGAAACAACCCCATTTTCTGACTTTGATAACCCCCCAGAAACCGTCAAAATAATGACCCCAGTGGAAGCGTCTAAAAGGGCCAACCGGAGTTTGGGGCGCTGCCCTGCCCTTCTTGCACCCACAAAGGTCGAAGGCAGATCGACGGCTGAAGGCCACCAAAGCGCTGTGACGCCGCGCTCCCTTACACATGAATAACAAAAACGGGTCGCTCAAAGAAGACTCCGCTCCAAATCGATTTCCGATTTCCGATGATTACTTCTTGGGGGGTTCCATCTATCTGCACAAAGGGGCACCTATGTGACCCTTTTGCGACGCAAAAGGGATACCCCGCTGTAATTATCATCCGCAGGTCCGTAGATCCGAGATCAACGTCACGCGAAAGAGACCAACACGCAGAGTCGTTTGATTTGCCCATGAATCAGACACAATGAAACCAGCCACAAACTGTGGAACAGCAACTCTTCCTGACTACACTCACTTGCGAGGACAACGCGGATTCCTTCGAAATCTGATCAACCACAGCAACCTCTGAAAGCTGTCAAGATCTTGCTGCGGTCCGCGGCGCTGCCCGTCAAAGAGTCTTGGACCACGTCGGCCAGGCGCACGTCCAGCTCGTCCCCCTCCTGAAAAAATAGAATTGCCCCGAAAAGATGGAAAACCCCAAAAAACCACGGACTCTAGGGGGGGGCTATACGTTTAACACGTCCCTAAGCGCTGTTGGGGGCGGGCTGTTCCAAACATCGCCCCTGACAAGCCCGAGGCCAGGAACCAGTTGCCCTGGCAAACCCTATGAACAATGGCAAACCACCTCTTCCGTTAAGGCCCCTGGAAATAATACAAATATGTCCAGTAGTGATGAATTCCTTTCAACACCAAGAAGGGAAAATAACAAATATTCTTAAGCAAATGGAAGACCTGAGTCAGAATCAAAACCCGGCCCAGAACCACGTAAAGAACTAAGAAGGCTGCCGCAGCTATTTATGATTGGGATTGTCCCTTACTAAGTTTTTATCTACCCAGGTTTTGGGCAAGCGGCTCACCCAATATCCATAGGGGGGTGGCTTTGGCCCCTCCAAAAGTGGTCTGAATCCCCACATTTCACGCAGAATCGGACACCCGCCTAGTCATACACTGGGGTTGATTTAGTTCGGGGTTCCCATGAATCCTAACTGGCGTGAAGCGGATTCCGTCCACAGACCCTTGCGCCAAGGCGATTCGGAGCGACCCGCAGCCAGGAGGGTACTTTCACATGGCGGATCCACGCTTTCTTGGGACGCCGCACCCCCAAAATATCTAGGAAAAAAGTCGATAGAGCCTAACCCAAAACTATGTCAAGAACGAGGAGTGAGCAACATCATATCTTTTTTGCCCGGTACTGAAGTGGAAAACAAAGGGAACCCCAGAAAAGCAAACAAATAAAAAGGGGAACATAGGGGAACTATTTCTGGCGAAGTGTATGGTTAGTAGCTACCCAGGTGTGTGGATTATGATTCAATGTGTTCAGCGCCAAGGACTGCTATTGGTCTAACATCCCGCCGGATAACCCGACAAACATAAGGCATGCCAGGCCTTCCGCCACGCCACTCGGGGATTGCTCCGTTCCAAGAAAGCTGGGCTGCCCTGAAATCCGCTGCTAGAAGCTTAACAATTTGAGTGGGTTAAATGGAAACCCCCCACTAAACGCTAAGAAGAAACAAAGAAGGAAAAAAACACGAAGGAGTGGCCGGGAGCCACCAAGACAATTGGCGCGCCAACGCTTGACTGCGGAGTTTCGTCCGGGCCTTGAGGCCGACGATGTCGAAGGCTTCAAGCTTGAGATCGGCCCCAGCCTGCAAGTTGGCCAACCTTTTCTTGCCGGTGACAAAGGTAAGGACTTGGCTGTGGGTCAAAACCGTTTTGGGATCCCATTTTGGGGTAGGTGAATTCACCACCCATTTTAGAACCTATTGTAGTGGGGATTGGGATGTTCACTGGGGGTATGGGATTTCGACCCATGGCCACTTGTCCGGGTTTTGGGAATGAACCGGAAAGGGGGACTTCCCGAAGAAAGGAAACCATAGGATGCATGGTTTTTATATATATATATATATATGGATGGGCCATTCCATTTCGCATTCCCTGCTGAGAACCAGCAAGCTTTCGACCATTTGGGCGTAACGTTAGGTGAAATGTTGGCAACCACTTCCGTACAGAATTCCTGGCCTAGCGGAGCTTAAGCGGGCTCCCCAACAAAGAACAAAGAACGAAAACACGTGAAGTCCATAAAACAAACGCGCGCGAACTCCACGAAGCTTTAGCTTCAAACCGTTAGCTTCAAACGCAAAGTCCTTGGTGTACTGAGGCTCCGGCGGCCAAACGGAAGCCCTTGAGGAACCTCGCGGCTCGGGGTTTGGTGAGTGGAACAACCCATTCGAATCCCCGGAAATTTCGTTTGGGTCGGTTGAGGGGTCGGTGGAACCATCCAGAAACTGCGAGCCCTTGAGGAACCTCGTGGAACGGGGTTGAAAACACGGAAACATGGTCGCACATGGAAACAACCCATAAGGTCACCCAAAGTCTGAGGACCCCCCAGCATCAAAGGGGCCCTCGGGTTACTGAAAGCGTCTTCGAAAGCATGCATATTTGTATCTAGGTCTGGAACCCCCCCCCGTTCATTTTTTGTTGGAACAACTATGGACACCCTAGCCAAGTCCTGAAACACATGCCGCTACAAGTAGGTACACTCCCAATGTTGCCATGGAACCTGGCCAGGTGGAAGCACATGGTTAGAGACCCTCAGGGTTCCATGGTGACACCTTTGTCAAGGGAAGTAAATACAGCATGGCTACCTGTCCCAAATACACACCTGGTTCTCATCACTCGGATGTACATTGTTGCACGTATCAGGGTGGAGATTGAAGGGATCTACAGCGTCAGACACTTTAGTAACTTATTGTTGTTCAACTGTGACATTTTATCTTCACCTTCTTTGGGAAGTGGCCTTCAAATACTGGCCGTCACACAGAAATCGGGCAGTTTGCTGAACATCGGGCACGTTTTGTAAAAGCTGAGCTGCGGCGCTCTCTTACTAAGAACTGGAGCCAGCACAGGGACAAGCATCGGAAGCACGGGTTGACCTTTCTCTGCCGGTGACCCAACAGTGTTGCCCTTCGAGCGCAAAGAAACCCGCAAAACAAACGCAACACAAATTGCGAACGGATGTGAATCTCGAAAAGCAGTCAAACCTAGCTGCTGCCCACGCAAAACACTAGAATGCAAAGATAGCCGCAATCGTTTTACCAAAAATTGGCCAATTTGTTTCCAACTCGGCCCAACTATTTTTTCAGTCGGCCAGACCAAGTGTGACAATCACGGCAAACAAATGACGGCGAACAGGAATCCCCCAAATCGACAGCTTGCCTTTGATTTCAACATAACGCAGCGCGGAGACTAATACCCTCAACAAAAGGACACACCCACTTGGATGGGCGTGACCCTGTTGCCTCGAACAGCGCAACCAAGCAACCCTTGGCAGGTACCCCGGGCATCACCCTGGTCAATGTGGGTAGGGTGGTTGCATGGCCAACATGAGCGATCGTACAACAAAAACATGGGGAACTTTGTGCTGTGCCTTCGCCCCTTCCTACCTCGGCTTTTTGCGGGATGCATTTTTGAGGCCCCCATCCCAAATTGTCCAATTGATCAATTGATCCGTGGAACCGTTCGAAATTGAAACCCATAAATCTGGGTTCAGAAGGAAACCAAGTGAAAACTCACCATTTGTCGGTGTCCCCTACGTTAGACCACTCACATTGGTAGGCAGAACCGTGGGAGCCGTCTCCGCCGTTTTCTTCGCAGAACCTTGGGAGCCGTCTCCGTCGTTTTCTTCGCCCAAGGGGCTCCCCTGCGGTTTTCCGCGCCACGATGCCGCCGCCCTTTTGCAGGGACTCCTTCAGCAGCTCGATCTCATCGTTCTTTACCACCTATGACGGGGCCAAGTGCTTAGTACTTCCCAACATAACCCGAGCTAAAGCGTTTGAAGGGAAAGATCGGGACCCAACAGTAACTCTTTAAACGCCTCCGCAGGTCTTTAAGGCGCCTTAAGGGACCCAGTGGGCTTTTACGCATCCCGCCCGTACATGCATGTTGAGTGGAATCTGACGATTCAGCAAGGTTCCTGCAAGACCATTTTCTGAAATGGACCTTCTGATTCCTTTGGTGGGAGGGTGAGCCCCGTGCAACAAGTCATAACTTCTTCGCTGGATAACCTGTCGCTGAACGCCGCGGAACGGAGTCTACTGAAAAGACGAAGCTTGTTGGGCTTGACGAAAATGAACGAAGAAACCTGCGCTACGTGCCGCTAAAAGGATATTTAATACAAACGTTCAGGGTAAGGGCGAACGTTGTCGCTTTCCTCGCCAGAGGGAACAATGTCCGTTGGTAAATGCAACGGCTGGATGTGGAGGTAAACTTGGAGTTTGCGGTTTATTCAGAACGAAAGCGCCAGGAAACAAATATGGACAAATGGTTGGTTTGATATTCTAATATGTTTAGACGGAACGAATCGTGTGGACCATCATGTATCATGATGATATACTTTGTCGAAAATTATACCTCGTCACTAATATACCCCGAGCTGCAAACCGGCCGCCAGCTAACTGCCGAAACAGGCCACTTAATGGACAACTGGATCACGAAGACCAAGCCACTTATAGGGTGATAATAACATGGCCAGCCATATGACAAACTGTGGCTGGACGAAATCCTGCACCACCTAAGAAACTCTGGGATGATGATTCCCCTGCAAATACCAATGAACAATGGTTACCCATGGTTTCAATGTTGTGCATGATTTCGTCCATCTACAGAATCATTGAATTCGGCTACAGTTGTGAGAAATGACGAGGCAAAGGTACCCGCGTCTTGGAATGCTGCAGGTCGCTGAGAGGGCCTTCGAGATCTTACAAGCTTTACGCCGAATTTTTGTTGGTTGAACAGTGCCCATGCCATCACCAGGTGGGTGATTTCAAGAACTTGTGCTAGCTCCTCGAACGATTGCTCCATGGTTGTGATTCACCAACGGCTGCATTGACTAACTCATGGCTGTTCAAGCCAGCTTTCAGGATTGCCAAAGGTGCCCTTTCCGTGATATCAAGCTTGGGATTCCTCCCCACCAGGACTACTTGATCACATTAAAAGGGGACTTGCCAAGGTTATCACAGAAATTAAAACAATCATGCACTTTCATGCCTGGCAAATAGAAGAGCAATTTCATGCCTGTTTGCTTTAAAGAAACATGCCAGCATGATGAGAGACTTGGGCCATGTGATGCAAAATCGAAATATGTTTGGCTTCACGAGGAGTCACCGGCAAAGGGTCGACATTTGCCTCCGAGCCCTCCCCCAAGGACCGGTTTGCTGCTCAGTTCAAGTCCTTCTTGGGCGGCTTCAACAGGAAGTTGAAAAAGGTGTGCCTTTGGACTGAAAAATTGAAGAAGGAACCACCTCAAGAGTGGCTGGTGTTTACTAATCCAACCTACGCGATATCCACCAAAAGGCTCCTCCCTCAAACAACACACACACAGACACACATCAAAAACACTCCCTTTGGTTGGCGCCACCTCCATTTTGCGAGTTTGGACTCTTTATTGCAGTGGTCTGCAAGGGAAATACCCATGGGAACGTCACCACTTCAAGCCACGCCAAAGGGAACGTCATGTTTTCGTGTCTGAAAGGGTAACCATTTGGCTGTGGGTCAAAACCCAGGAAACCCCTGGTGAACATCAAAATAGGTGGTACATGGGTATTCATCCGCCCGAAAATGGCTCGGCATAGGTTATGACCCATGGCCATTTGTTGGTGCCCAAACCTCCGCCAAGGGTCCTAATAAACAGTTTTAAACTTTGCTTGTAGGTTGCCAAACCTCCATTTTGGGAGTCCGACTCTTTTTTGAAGCAGTTTGAAACAAAAATTCCAAAGCGAATGTCACTAATTCTTGGTGCCCCCGATCTTCAGACACCAAGCGACCCAAGCCGACCCAAGGCGCGAAGTCCGCCAGCAGCGAGGAGTTGCTGCGGTGGGCAGCCGGGCGCACCCTGGGGCCGGTCTCCCAGCGCGGGGAGTCCTGCCATGGGTCGGCGGAAGGCTGGGGTTTGGGTTTTGCACCTGGGCCAAAACCTCCATTTGCTTAAGTCTATTGAAATTATCCCTTAAAAATCAAGAGGGGGAAATACAAACATAGTCTTAACCCAAATGGAAGAACATCCCATTATATTTGTTTGGCGCTCTATGAGCTTCCCTGTTGGTGGTTTGGATGGGAAGTTTGGAGGCTAGGACCCAACAAGAATCAGGGGGACCAGCCACAACCCGCCAATCCAAGTCAGATGGCTGTACAGCCACTGGACACAATATCAGGGATATACCTGGTTGCGGGGGCAGTGGTTTGGGGTAGCGAAAGCCTTAGATGAAAACTTGTAGCCAGGTAAACCTGTGACCAGAAAGGCAAAATAATGGCTTCAGCCAGAAAGCGTATGGGTTTGGTACTGAACTTGGCTGGTTTAGTGTTGACCTCTGGCCTCCCGTGCACTCCCGGGACTCCGGGTCCTCATGCGCAGATTGCCGCCGGCGTGCTGATAGCCTGCGGCCGCCTACCGGGTGGGCACGTGCAAAGCATACGGATCTCCGCCCTCATGTGTGTGCTTCCCTTCGAAGGATCGGCTTAGATGGAGACCAGTCCCTTTTTGTGGTCCCCTGTTTTGGTGCGGTCAGGGTAAGTTCAAACCACTGGGCGACTGAATCCTGGGAACCTGTTGTGGTGTTTATGTATACATACGGCATGGTTCTCTACATGCATTGTATATCTATATATACATTGTACCTCCAACAATCTAGCTAATCTACACCCACAGTGTTCCCTCCTCTCACTCAAATAGGCAAGACTTACAAACGTACTCCAATACGATGTGGCATTTCTGCGGTGCTCCCCACAAAAAACGATCAATCCAAACCAAAGAACATACAGCATGTCTGGCAGGTGACCTTACTCCCCACTAAAAACCAACAAGAAGAAGCATGTCTGGCTTCAATTTTAGTTCTTGGGGATTCTTGCGTTCCCCACATTTTCCTATTTACGATTAACGGTTCTGAAAAACATGGGAATCTTGAATCTGAAAACACTGAAGACATGCAATATGTATACCTGGACCCTCAATCACCCTTCGTTTTTGGGGTGGTGCTGTGTTGCATTCATTTTTGGGGTGTTTTGTCATTTTTTTGGGGTGTTAGTTCCATGTTTGGGTGTTTTCGTTTTTCCATGCGCTGCTTTGTCAACCCTGCAATTTCGCTAGCGGTGTGTTTAACTTGCTTGAATTAACAACGTTATTGTTCACGGCGCAGGGCTTGCTTGAAAGATACAAGTGCCAAGTCAAGCAGCGGCGCGGACCTTGCTGTCACTCAATGTCAAACCTCCAGGTTCAGCTTAGCTGCGCAATGCCTTTGATGTTGGCATGGAAGAAACCATCAAACATAATTTGACCTTGGCCCAAACGGCTTGAATGCCAACACGACACAAGGGAAAACAAAAGCCGCGTTATTAGCCTTTCATTTTTGTGTGAGAAAAGCATTTGTGAGTTACACAAGTTAAGAAGGCTGCTCCGTTGCGTGCTGCCTAGTGTTGGAGCCGATCACTGAGAAGCAAGGCATCCAAACCAGGTTTCCTTTGGAAGCGAGCAGGTGGCTTGGTGCACCACAACTCAAACTGATGTTTAGGAGGGCGCTGCGACAATGCAAAGAACCAACATCCCTTAAAACAGGAGTTAGACATTTCGAGTTGTTTCTTCTAGTGTGTGCGGTGTGCTTTGCGCGGCACACATCACAAACGGTCTTTCATGGCAAAACCCGGTCTTCTAATGGCTTGAAACAGTGTGTCATGCGCAGTTCACCGCATGTTCATGTAATGTCACTCTACTTTCACGACTGTAGAGTCCAAGAAGGTATAAGTTCAATGAACAAATATTGTCGCAACAAATTGAGAAGGATAGCTTTCGCAGATTTTGTAGCAGCGCGATGGGAGTGATTCCGCATTTGTCCACAGCTCTGTGCCCTTGGGCCATGTGCCCAAAGTTGTTTCAATCTACAAACAACACAAGAAAAATCTTAATTAAGCATGATGTACAATACATTGCAAATTCGGGTATGTTCTGTTTCACCATGCCTCCTAGATGATCAAGTTCACATGTTTCTTCAACGGTGGTTCTCTGGCTAATGCGACTCAGCGCAACATGTACCAGTTGCCCTTCAAGTTGATGTCCTGAAGCAAGCATACAGCCAAAGGGTCCAGTCTTTATATGATAGCAGGCAAGCTTGCAACACCTGCTATTCTGCGAACAGTAGCTGTCACTAGCAATTGAATGGTCGTTCCGCAACGTCCACCTAGGATTAAACATTGCACCTGGAATAAAGACAAACGGGTGGCCCCCCAAAAAATGCACCTGGAATAAAGACAAGCACCCGCCACCCCCGCCCAAATGTTCTGAACGAAAAGTATAATGAACATGACAAAATGGAACAAACAGAGAAAGAAGAGGAGAGGTAGCCAAGCCAACACCTGGTCCTTAGATCTTTGGTACCTTGTTCTTCAGCTCCCCAAAAATCAAACTGTCCAGCTGCCCAATAAGTCATGGTTTCTTACATGTCTCTTGCTTAAAAACTGCCCGCAATCAAACCTGCAAAGGGGGTGGGTAGTGCTTCAGGCCCCCAAACTTGAGCCCAAGACTTTATTTCAGGGGCCCCTACAATAAAGTCTTGTTGTCTGGCCCCCTGCAAATATACAACTAGCCCAGCGTCACTACCTATGAAGCTTCGGGCTTTGTTGTTAGATTTGGGCCTGCTTCCCAAACTCAAACATGTCCAGCTTCCCCAAGCTCTTGTTTTCTTGCATGTCTCTTGTTTAAAAACTGCCTACAACCAAACCCACAAACAACCTAGTACTTCAGAAACTTCACCCCCAATTTGACATTATTTCAACGGCCTCTGAAATAAAGTCTTGTTGCCTGCCCGCGGCTGCCCGCGTCCAAAAAAATATCAAGAGGAAGCTCCACCAATACAAAATCAAATGGAAACTCAATACAAAATCTCAAAAGGAAGCTCCAGCAATGCAAAATCAAATAGCAACTCAATTCCAAATCTCAAAAGGAAGCTCCAGCAATACTAAATCACATGGAAACTCAGTTCCAAAGGCAGCTCCAATGCTAAATCAAATGGAAACTCAATTCCAAGTCTCAAAAGGAAGCTCCAGCAATACTAAATCTTATGGAAACTCAGTTCCAGATCTCAGAAGGAAGCTCCAGCAATGCTAAGTCGAATGGAACCAATTTCCAAATCTCAAAGGAAGCTCGAAACTCCATTCCAGATCTCAAAAGGAAGCTCTAGCAATACTAAATTAAATGGAAGCTTAAGCCTACCAATACTAAAGCAAATGGAAGCAAAATTGAACTGGATCTCAAGAGATTCTTCTAGGCACCCCCTTTGTTGGGGGGGAGAGGCCCCCCCCTTTACTACTCCCAGGCGGACATTACTCCGAACAAAGACCATTTGAAGGACATTACTCCGAACATAGTCCGGACAGGTGGACAGGGTCTGCCGGACCGGTTGGACGGCCCGGACGGGTCCGGACGGGTCTGGATAGGTCCGGACGGGCCCGGACTATCAAAAAAAGGTGTTTTTGTCAAAAAAAGGTGTTTTGGTTCGGACTAGTCCGGGACGGACGCTTAAATACGCCTTTTGGACGCCTAAATACGCCTTTTCGGACGCCCCGCTGGACGCCCAAAACAAAAAAATGTGTTTTGGATAGAAAAAGGTTTTGTTGTATGTTTTTCTCGTCCGGACGCGTCCGCCCGCCCGGACCCTGTCCACCTATCCGAACTATGTTCGGAGCAATGTCCTGTAAATGGTCTTTGTTCGGAGTAATGTCCACCTGGGATTGGTAAAGGGGGGGCCCTCCCCCACCCCAACAAAGGGGGTGCCTAGAATAATCTCTTGAGATCCCGTTCAATGTTGCTTCCATTTGCTTTAGTATTGGTAATTAGACTTGAATTTCCATTTGATTTAGTATTGCTGGAGCTTCCTTTTGAGATTTGTATTTGAGTTTCTCATTGATTTAGAGATTTGGAAATGAGTTTCCATTTGACTTAGTATTGCTGGAGCTTCCTTTTGAGATTTGGAATGGAGTTTCCATATGATTTAGAGATTTGGAATTGAGTTTCCATTTCACTTAGTATTGCTGGAGATTCCTTTTGAGATTTGGAATTTAGTTTCCATTTGATTTAGCATTCCTGGAGCTTCCTTTTGAGATCTGGAATTGAGTTTCCATTTGATTTAGCCTTGCTGGAGCTTCCTTTTGAGATCTGGAATTGAGTTTCCATTTGACTTAGCATTGGAGCTTCCTTTTGAGATTTGGAATTGAGTTGCTATTTGATGTTGCATTGCTGGAGCTTCCTTTTGAGATCTGGAACTTAGTTTCCATTTGATTTTGTATTGCTGGAGCTTCCTGTTGATACTTTTTTGGGCGCGGGCAGCCGCGGGCAGGCAACAAGACTTTATTTCAGAGGCCGTTGAAATAATGTCAAATTGGGGGTGAAGTTTCTGAAGTACTAGGTTGTTTGTGGGTTTGGTTGTAGGCAGTTTTTAAACAAGAGACATGCAAGAAAACAAGAGCTTGGGGAAGCTGGACATGTTTGATTTTGGGAAGCAGGCCCAAATCTAACAACAAAGCCCGAAGCTTCATAGGTAGTTGCACTGGGCTAGTTGTATATTTGCAGGGGGCCAGACAACAAGACTTTATTGTAGGGGCCCCTGAAATAAAGTCTTGGGCTCAAGTTTGGGGGCCTGAAGCACTACCCACCCCCTTTGCAGGTTTGATTGCGGGCAGTTAAGCAAGAGACATGTAAGAAACCATGACTTCTTGGGCAGCTGGACAGTTTGACTTTTGGGGAGCTGAACAACAAGGTACCAAAGATCTAAGGACCAGGTGTTGGCTTGGCTACCTCTCCTCTTCTTTCTCTGTTTGTTCCATTTTGTCATGTTCATTATACTTTTCGTTCAGAACATTTGGGCGGGGGTGGCGGGTGCTTGTCTTTATTCCAGGTGCATTTTTTGGGGAGCCACCCGTTTGTCTTTATTCCAGGTGCAATGTTTAATCCTAGGTGGACGTTGCGGAACGACCATTCAATTGCTAGTGACAGCTATTGTTCGCAGAATACTGTAGCATGCCTTGCAAGCTTGCCTGTTATCATATAAATACTGGACCCTTTGGCTGTAACAGTGAGGGTTTTGGGGCAGTTTAGCGCTGTGAGCAAAGCAAAGCTTAAAAACAATATGCTTGCTTCACGGCATCAACTTTAAGGGCAACTGGTACATGTTGCGCTGAGTCGCATGAGCCAGAGAACCACAGTTGAAGAGTTGAAGCAACATGTGAACTTGATCATCTAGGAGGCATGGTGAAACTGAACATACCCGAATTTGCAAAGTATTGTATATCATGCTTATTGAAATGTTTCTTGTGTTGTTTGTAGATTGAAGCAATATTGGGCACATGGCCCAAAGGCACAGAGCTGTGGACAAATACGGAATCACTCCCATCGCGCTGCTACAAAATCTGCGAAAGCTATCCTTCTGAATTTGGTGCGACAAGATTTGTTCATTGAAATTGTACCTTCTGGGACTCTGCAGTCGTGAAAGTAGAGTGACATTACATGAACATGCGGTGAACTACGCATGACACACTGTTTCAAGCCACTAGAAGACCGGGTTTTGCCATGAAAAACCGTTTGTGATGTGTGCCGCGCAAAGCACACCGCACACACTAGAAGAAACAACTCGAAATGTCTAACTCCTGTTTTAAGGGATGTTGGTTCTTTGCATTGTCGCAGCGCCCTCCTAAACATCAGTTTGAGTTGTGGTGCACCGAGCCACCTGCTCGCTTCCAAAGGAAACACCTGACTTGGATGCTTTGCGACTCAGTGATCGGCTCCAATGCTAAGCAACACGCAACGGGGCAGCCTTCTCAACTTGTGCAACTTACAAATGTTTGTCTCACACATAAATGCAAGGCTAATTACACGGCTTTTGTTTTCCCTTGTGTTGCGTTGGCATTCAAGCCGTTTGGGCCAAGGTCAAATTATGTTTGATGATTTCTTCCATGCCAACATCAAAGGCATTGAGCAGCTGAGCTGAACCAGGAGGTTTACATTGGGTGATAGCAAGGTCCGCGCCGCTGCTTGAATTGGCACTTGCATCTTTCAAGCAAGCCCTGCACAGTGAACAGCAACGCCCCAAAGAACACCGCTTATCGTGACAACACCGTTAAACAAATCCGCTGATGGACTTTCAGGGCTTTACTTGGCACAGAACCAAAAAAAGGTGTTTTGTTCAAGAAAAGGTGTTTCGACAAAGAATGCCATTCTTTACATTTTGCCCCAAAAATTTGGGGTGGTTTGAGACTCCAGGTAGTCTTTTTTTGCGGGGGGGGGGGGGAGAGGAGGGGGCGGTGGAGTCAGCATATATGTATATGTATATATATATATATATATAGATATACATATTTATGTACGGGTATGTGTCGGTGTCTGTGTATGTGTGTAAGAAAGTCTTTGTGTGTGTGTGTCTGTGTGTTTGTGCATGTGACTGTTGCATTCTCGCGAACGCGCATGCATACTTGAACGCTGTCCTTAACTATCGTGCGGATACACCTCTAAACACTTTCTTTGAAAGGGCTTCCTCCTTCGCTTTCCCGAACATAGGACAACTCGTGTTAACTACATATTGGTCAAACCCCGTGTAGTAACAGGGTGTGCCCATGGCTTTAGTGGGGGATCATCACTTTTGGAGGGGAGCAGCCTAATATTCACAAACTGGGGTTGATTAATATGGGGTCAACATTCTAGATAAACACACGCATGTCATCCTGGAACCTATGGAGACACCCTTGTTTCTGTGGTTTTAATACGAAACCAAGAGGAAAACCACCGTCCACCCTTTCACAAGACAACACCCTTGCTTTCCAGTGATGCCAGCTTGCGCCTACACGGGGGCTGTCCCCGCCGCGCGGGCTTTCCCGCGCGCTGCGGGGGCTGTCTCTCGCACTGCGGGGGCTGTCCCGGGGGCTGCGTGGACTCGCACTCGGCGATGGCATGCCTCAGCGTTCAAAGGGAGATTGGGGTTTGTTCTAGGGGACACTTGCCCATCAGAACTGCAGGGGAAACAGCTGGTGCTTGAAAGAACGATGTTTGAAAATAATGGGGAATCCACCCCTAGATTTGTCCTTTTGCAGGGGTCCCAGCAAAAAATATGGCTTCGGTTTGGGTGTCCAAAGAAAAACCCACAAAGAAAAGGGTGCCTAAAAAATAGAAGACACACTTACCAAAAGGTGTCAAAGATTGAAAACCGAACTGGGGGCTGCGCCGTTCAGTGCCAAGTGTTTTTACAGTTTTCACAAGGGTTCGCCCAGCCTAAACTCAGCGCTCTGCCTGGCTAGTCGGAGACACAGTAGCCATCAGCGCGCATGCCAAGCAAAACCCCTTGCACGCAGCTCGAATTATCTTGGCGTTGCTATTGGCTTCAAGGCGCTTAAGTGACTAACCCCTTGTTGGTGTTCTAGACTTGAATTGTCGTAATGGGCATTGCAAACGATGTTTGGCGAATATGACAGCCGACCTTTTCAGAAACCGGCATGCTGCCTCTCCAAGTAATTACGGCTTTGCTGGAAACAGCCGTTCACCCTTGCTGATGCCTGCTCGTCTGCTAGAACTCAAGCACTGTGTCCGCAGCTTGCTGATGTGGCATCAAGACAATGGCCTGGAACAAGCCACACAACCAGCAGGAGCGTCTTGAACCACATGTCCAGCAGCGGTTTATGACCCCAGTGGCCAGCCCAAGACTGCAAAGCTCACTTCATGATGCTTCAATCCGGCTGTGCTCGCTCGGGACGTCCTTTCCACCAATGCGCAATCATTGCACCTTATCAGATCTCCTTAGGGCAACACCAAGATCAAAGGGTGCGTGTTCCAATCGAGATTCCGGGGCATCCAAACAAGCAACCGTACAAACACAGCTCTCTGTGAGACAGTACGCCTGTGCCGTCAGAAGTGGATACAACAAGCAGAAACCTTTCACCTGAAGAAACTAGCCAGGTGACCAAATCGGCATGATTCGCAAATTGAGCAGCTGATGTTGCGCGATTTTTAAAACAGCTTGGATGCTCAAAGGCTGAATGACCTCATGCATAAACCTCCGGTTTATAAGTTAATTAACTCAAAAAAAGAAACTAGGGCGCAACTGGGCAACTGGGTTATGACTTGGGAGGCCTGCCACCAAAGGCGCCCACCGCGTGGGCAAACTCATTTACAAAGTCACGCAATCTGGGCTCGAAATGTCTCCTCAACGCAAACACAGATCAAACCCACTATCATCAAGGGGGTCCCGTTTGTAGTGGGAGCAAAATCAGACAAATTGGGAACTTATGAGGGGTCAACAGCGTCAACATTGCTAAAAGCGACTACCTGGAAGCCTGACCACTAAAATGAACCTTCGCGCATACCACTAAAATGACCTTCCCGAAATCACGTCTCTTCAAAGAAAAGGAGCCCCCAAACAGGCGGGTTGGCTGTAGGAGCAGTGTCAAAGGTTTACGTCCAACTGCGGTTTGGGGATGTGGGCAACTTGCTCCAAAACAAGAATCCCGCTGAACCCGAGAAAGGTCTCCGGTATATACGGTATACCTTCCTGTAGGTTTCCGCTCCTTGAGCTCGTAGAGTTTCGGGTGAGCGCCTTCTCTTCATGGGCTGGGGGGGAGGGAGGGGAGGCCTTCTCTTCATGGGGGCTGGGGGGGAGGGAGGGGAGGGGGAGGGAGCCCAAAAAACAAAAACATTCAGCCCTTACTAAGGCCTTGTTTAGGGCTTATTGGGCTCCCTCCCAAATTCCCCCTCCCCTCCCTCCCCCCCAGCCCCCGTAGTCTCTTTTTCTCGCGGATCTGATCCGATATCTCCCCTTCCAGGGCCCTAGCGCTGTGAACTGCAAGGGGATGGCAGACGCTCGCCCGGCTCGCCCCTGAGATCGCCCCTGAGATCGCCCCGGAAATTCTACACCTGAGGCAAGAACTGGATCCTCAAGTAAAGGACCTACATCCTGGCAAGCTGTGAAAACCCCGAATCGGTAAGCTCGCCATTCACAGATGCTGATCCTATTCGCCGCCTTATGCCGCTTTGGTGCCAAAAGCAAGCCCGTGTTCGAGGGCCCATAGTTTTTCAAAAAAGAAGAAGAGGCAAACTCTCGCAACCGCTGGGGCCGAACCCAAGCACTAGGCCCGCCCGGCCTGAACTAGGACTCCTGCGAAACCAGCCGAAACCAGCTCAAAACAAACAGCAACGCATGGCGCTTCTGCACTTAGAACAACCGGCCTTGAGAGGAGCCCCAAATGATGCTTGGAGATCCAAGCCACTAGGCGTCTATTCAGGAACCCTGAATTCTGGCCTGACTGAATTCGCCACGCGCGTGCCATGGGCTCAACTACAGGCTCCCTGCAAGCACTTCGGCACATTTACCTGGGTTGTCAACAAGCCCAGCGCCTCCAGTCACCTCTATAAAGCAGGTAACCAGGTATGGTTACCTCTATTCCGTTGGTTACCTACTATAGTGCCTTGCCTGGAAGCACTGGGTAGCTCACCTCGGTCGTTCCATGGCACCTGCGCGTCCGGATTCCATGCGCGAGAAGGACCAGCCTTCGATTCAGGCGCTAGGCAGTCAGGGAGTTACCCTCGCCGCCTCTGGAAATTCTAGCATGTTTTGCAGGTGTGTCTGGGTGTTGATTTACTGGGGTAGTTCACTCATCCTAGAAAAGTAAAACTGAATGTTCGTATGTTGCAGCTTGTCCAGAACTAATGTCTTTGTCTGAGTGTCTGAACGGGCGATCTCTCAAACCCTAGGCTGTTCCATGGTAGTAGGGGCCGAATGACAGTGTTTTTGACGCCTAATGTCCAACCCCTCTGGAGCCAAGCCCCAATCGACAAAACTCCTGGCAGATGCCCCCCGGCTGAGCGCACAGCTCAGAACTGGGCGGTTCCGCCTGCGAAGGTTTCGGAACTGCTGAAAGGCAGGCCAACCTTCGAAGCAATTCTGACATTGTTTCCTGATGTCGACCTTACCCTGCCACCAATTCACATGGAACCTGACAGGGAAACCGTGCCACCAATTCACATGGAACCTGACAGGGAAGTCGTGGAGGGGAATTCCTGTCAGTTTCCACGTTCATTTGTGGGAGGCTATTGTGTCGCTGGGACTTGCTGGGACTCAACGCGCTGGAAGAACTTGATTTTGGTAGCGGCTGACACGTGGATTCTCTTCGATGCCTACCCAGGTGGTGGGACATTTCAAGGGACGAGGGGGCCTGAGAATACTCGACTTAGTCACTAAATTTGCAAAAAAATCAATCCAAACCTGTCGGTTGCCACTGAAATGGTCTGCCCAAAAGGTAGAAAGTCCAGGGGCTCAGGTGAGAGCATCAGCCCTTCATCAGCTCTTGGAAGCTTATCCTTGCCTAATCCTGGAGGTCCATGAGCATGGGAATTGCCTCCGATGCGGCCCCTTACAGGTGAGAGTGTCAGAAATACCAATCGAATTGCCAAAATATTGCTCGCTGCTGCTGACGTTGGACGCCCGTGCAACGTCTTGCATTGCCCCCCCCCCAACCATTCCCCAACTGAAAAAAAACAACTTGGACGTGCATGAACCTGGCAAATGCCAGTGCCCTACAACCCCGTTCTGATTGTTTAGGCCCGTGATCCTACCTTCTGGAAGAGGGGTGTGGGTGGTCCCCAATTTCATTCCTCTTCCCCTGAGAACGGAAAATGGCTCACCATAAATGAAGATCTCCAGAAGTTTCTATAGATTCAAGGGTTACCGGTTTGGGGCCCAAAAGGAAACAACAAACCGTCCAAGTGCGCTGCTCGCACATTTTCACGCTTGAACAGCCACACTGCGGATGCAACGGATGTAAAACCCCAAACTGACCGATCAAATTCTTCACCCCCCTCTGCGTGTTAAAGGGGCCTTTCACAAAGCAGCCAAACAGTAACACAACAGAGGGAGAAGGTCAGGGGAACCATTGACACATGCAAACCATGACAGTTGCGCTTTTAGCGCCACTGCCACGTAGAGTAGTTTCCGCTACTGTTGTCCCATCCGCTCCATCCGGACCAGTTCTGCCAGCTGCCTTGGCTCCAATGCTCACCCTCGCGGGCGGCGGGAGCACGAGTATCGGCATAGCGAGCGGCGTTGCGAGCGAGATGCTTGCTGCTCTCGTTCCTCGAAAACTCAACCGAGTTACGAGCATAACGCTCATTCTGGCTGAAAACCCAGTCCATCTCGTGGCGGAGGTCCTCCAACGTGTTGCTTCGAACATGGATGATGCCATTCCAACAACCAATGCTGCGAGGCTTGTCTTGCTCGAAGACCACGTTGATAAAAGCCCTTGGGCTGTAAGGCATCCCTTGGAACATAATGATCCAGCGAGAGGAAAGCGCATCTTGAAGTTCGCTGGGCAGGAACTCCAACTCCGTCTTGACATACGCGAGCCTTGCGATTCGCGACTCCGAAGTTGATCCAAGGCCAACTCCCAGAGTGCGCTGGGCTTGCGACTGCTTTGGAGCTGCCAAGACGAGATTTGCACACAACTCCATGCGGAGCATGTCCGCCTCCCGACGGCCCACCTCAAGCATACGAACCCTGTATTGGAGGTCGAGTTCATAGCGATCAAGCAGAGAGTGGTAGCCGTTCTTCAGAGCGGACTTGTGCTTCTTCCGGGCTTCCTGAATAACAGCACTGTCCGGGGAGTTCAAGCCACGAATGATGCTGCTGCGATCCTCCTCGCGGAGGTCAAAAGTTCCCACGGATGCCAAAACCTGGGCAGTGACATGGGTGCTGAGGCCCATCTTCTTCAGCAAGTTGGAACGCTGCACAATGTAATTCCTCTGCTGTTCTTTCAGCAGCCGAGGATTGAGGGGAGACAATTGCCCACATGACGAGCAATGGACCTGCCCCTCAAACACACTGTTGTTGCAGACCGGGCACGCGGCGACATTCAGCTCAACGTTCTCCATTGGATTGAAAGTCTTCTGTCTCTTCGCTTCCCCTTGCGGGGCGCGAGGAGACGCCACATTGGTGCGGGTTGTAGCAATACGTTCCAGCGCTGTAGATCGATCATCAACCACTGCTTGGTCGCGCTTCATCCCCTGGGATTCATCCTCAGTCGCCTCAGCTGGTGCACCTGCATCCGATTGCTCGGAGCGAGTGTACCATACATCGCCATTTGTAGCGTCCAATACAGAAATAATCGTGTAGTTGGGCACCTTGTCGCGCGTGAGGACGCCATCGCTCTCTGTCTTGAAAAAGCAAAGCCCTGCGCGAATGGCCATCCTGAGGTCGATCTGTATTTCCAAGGGCTTGTTAGCGCGTACACCTGAGATGTAATTTTCGTTCGTGCTCGGAATGTCAGCGAAGAAAACGTGAGGTCTGCCTGTCTCGTGCTGGTCACCTCCTCCTGGAAGCAGTCCGTTTCGCATAATGTTGGCGAAGTTCCGCTTATCGGTGCGATGATAGAGCACCGTAGGAGGGTTGCTGCAGACGTTCCAGCCAGACCAGCGCCCGAGGTCCGTCCCCGGGTTCACGTACCACTCCTTCGCGATGCCGGAGTCGTCAATTTGGAGCCAGTCCTCATGGCCTTGGGAGGCCTTGATCTTGAAAATCCAATGAGAACAGGGGACGTCTCCGCACCGGCTTGCGTCCGGGCAACCAAGCGCAATGAACCTCTGCTTTTTGTCGAGCTTGAAGATGTCCATGATGCTCTGAATATTCCATGGAATGGGATGTCGCAGCTCCTTGCGAAGCGCGAGTCCCAAATCTTCAAGGTCCATGTAGCCGTCCTCATCCATCACGTACCCACATCCTTCTGTCCCTCGACCACGGAGGATCTTCGAGATGCACGTCAGGGAGCTGTGGTACTCATTGCTGATTCTCCTGACGGAAGGGTCGTAATCAAAAGAAGGCTGCTTGATGATCTCAAGTCGCTTGGGGCCCTCACCATAGTCAACATACTTCACGCCGTCATGGATGCTATAAACCCAGCAATCGTAGTGGCCCCCAGTCACGTTCCTCCCGTAGGAGTCGAGTGGTACCGGCCTGCTCGTCGCCTCGTCCCTCTGTGCCACCGCAGCCGCCTTTGCACCGGCTTGCGCCGGGCGAACACTTTCGGAAACATCAGCACCGGAAGGCTCACCTGAAGTTGCAAATTCGGCTGGATCGACAGGGGCGAAATCGAGGGGCTGCCGGAACTCCACTTCTTCACGGGTGAAAGGGAGCCCGATCATCTCTGACAATGAAACGCCGCACTTCGTTAGCGTTTCCTTGCAGTACGCGAGAACCTCAACGTTGACTGTGCAATCCTCTTGGTGGCGCACCTCGAGCACATCGATCGGACGCATTGTGCAATCATGCGAACGTGTCAGCTCGGCTACGCTGCCCATTGCGGGGCGCAAGATGGAAAGCATGTACAACATATGATGGGTTCCGCGCATAAACTGGACGGTCTTCGTGATATTGTCGTCACTGAAGCACATATGATACCTGTCCAGCAAATCGATGGTCTCGACGAAGGGTGTAGCATCAACATATACAAACATATTGTTGGGGTCGCCGATGATGTAATCCCGGACTTCCGTCATGAAACGGTCCCAAATCATAGAGAAGCCGTAGAGGTAGCTCTTCGCGCCGGTCATGACTCCAAGGCATGCGCAGCCCTTGCGGGCCGCGAAATCCCTGGTCCAAGCCAGGTGCCGTCTGGTGTCAGCGAGAAGTTGCTCGGCGTCTCCGATGGGGGTGTCGTAAGGATATGTACCAGTGGGCTCGAGGCCGTCCTTCCCAACGAGCTCGTTGCCATTCCAGTAAATCATCGGAATGATGGTGGCTGCTGGGTAGTCGGTACGCACCTCGTCGATGAGGGCGGCCAACCGCTTGCACAGCTGTTGTAAGCCCTTGCCCCAAAGCATTTCAGACCTCCATGCACCGACACGCGCCGGGCGAGAGGCATCCAAACGCTCCGCAAAGTCGTACTTGCGAAGCTTGCGCTTCTTGCCCGAAACCATGGACAGTCCTGAATCAGCGACAGTCACATAGATAAGGAGGTCGCGGTCTGGTACACGTGGGGCCTGCAAAACTTTCAAGTACGGTTCGCTTATGGTTAACAGGGGTGTAAGCAATTGCAGGTAGTGCGGTTGGTCCTGCACCCATGTATGAATAAGCGACTGTGCAGAGGTCGTCTCGAGGAGGCCCTTGACCGTGGCGGCGAGGTTAGCGTCGTATTTGCCGTTCGTGCATACCGAAGTGGTAGCGACATTCTCCATCCATCTCCTCCATGCCGGATCGCAATCCCTCGCGGGATGCGCCATAGCCGTCGCGCTGCTCATTGCGAAGAAGATGCAGCACAATCACTCGAAAGCAACGGCTGCATGGTGGCATGTTCAGAAAATGCATTGTGAACGGCATCGGTGTAAACATACGTGTATCCCTCGGCTTCCTTCAAATGCGTACCACGGCTTTCATCATGCTCGTGAGAACCATCACACTTGAAGTACTCAACCACGGAAATAGTGGGCATATTACTGGCAACGACCCACTGCTTTTTCATAGGTTTTCCATTTCTCCCTTTAATGCCGATTTTGCAACCATGGAATTCGTACTTGTTCATCTTGTACTTAGTCAAGAAACTCCATAGTTCGGGCCATTTCCAATAACGACACGCCTTGGGAAGTTCGAAGGCAACTCTAACGTCATCAGAATAGACATCATTGAGAATGCGTTTGAACCCTCTCAGCAGTGATCGGAATTGCTTGATGTGACCCTCAATCTTGGCAGCACCTTTGGGAGTTTGCTGGTTGACATAACCCCACGGGCATCCTCCAGTGCAAGGCAATGAAACGTAGAACATTATTGCACCCTTAGGATTCTTGCTCCTGAATTCGGCAATTTCATGGACTAACCACTGCCTGCATGTATCAGAGCACCCGTCTTCGG